ATTTCAATCTTGATCGGTACCAAATTTTTCTTGTAGTAGGCCACTTTCATTTGCGTCATAGGCACAATGACAGACAGACAGACATAAATTAAGATAAGAATCATCTCGATGTAAAAATACTTCACAGTTTACAGAAAAAACTGTAATGTTATTCATGTGCATGAAAAATATTTTTACATTTTAAACACATCTTAAAATATTTACCCAATAAAGCATAACTCTGAGTAAAATTGTGTTTTATAACCAAACAAATAATTCGATGTAGGGAAATTATAGCCCTGATAAGTAATAAAAACATTATATTAAGCACACAACTTTTGATAGAGTTCTATTTAGTACTTACACGAAATACCTTACCTTTCTACTGTATTTGAAAAATCGTTGAAGCTACGACACAGTCTTTCCGTTATTGATTATTTATCAACTCGGCTTCCCTCTCCTGGAAGTACCTCATTAAATCAGTTTACATTTTCTTTGAGTGAGCATTACAAGCTTAAAAATCTCTCTGAAAAATTAATAGGTAGGCTACAGATATTTTAACTTTGATGTTCAAAATATTAAAGTTAAACATGTTTTTAAATGTAATAACCTTTTTTTGAAATTCTATATTATTAATCCGATTTTATTTTGGATTAAACAAATCGAAATAACATTTTGCTGCTAGTTCAAAAATAAAAGAGTTGCAATGCAATAGAATTGGTAATGAGGTCTTAAATGGCGTTACTAGTACACAGTAAAATGATATAATTTTTTATTTACCTCTAGAACTCATTCCTTTAGGCTATGCCCTGCACAGTTAACTGATAAAATTAAAATGCATTGATTTTGTAGCAAAACTATACTATAGTAGTAGTTTACGCAACGATCGCGAGTGCCTTAACAACTTCTACGAGTGTCGTTAAGACTATTTATTTCAGAGCCTCTGATTATCCAGAATCTACAGATTTTATTCATAACCTAGACCAGACTGGTCTAGGAGAAATAAATGGGTGAACAAATTTTTACGACCTAAACTTAACCCGCATCAGTTGAAAATATTGGGAGAAAAAGTTATTTAACATCTATAACAAGCGTAAATTTACGTTTTACTTACGACGATAGTCCCCAAAGAAACAATTAAAACTCTCTTATCCTAACACGAGCTGTCTAGTGTTAGTGTTGAAGTGTTCAAAGATGCATGCGGTAATTTCTCATTAACAACAACCATCATGTCCCTTGAGTGAATTCATAACACCTTCATACTACAGGCTTACTCACAGTGTTGATATTAGGATGTTAGCTAATGCTTCGTTGCTTTGAGAATAGAGTATAAATGTGATTTGTGGTTTTATAACACACATATCTATGAAAAACCAAGCTTTATATGTTACAAAAAGTTTTAAGAAAGCAACCAAACTAAAAGAGTCATCAAAGAAGAGCATTTTTAGCTAAGAATTTGATTTTATTTTTTTAGTTAAATCTTTGTTTACTTGTTCCAAAAAGTTATTTTTTTATAAATTTTATAGGTTTAAATTTCCAATACTGAAATCCAGAAGATGAGTGTGTTTTGATTTAGTGTATAGCCAACTCAATTAGAACTGGTGGTTGATTAATACCAGCTGGCCTATTTAAAAACATTACCTTTACCAGCCAGTTGTATTTGCTTTGACTTTAACACGAGGTTTACCACAGGGTGGAGCGTAGCATATGCCCATAATCAGCTGACTGTTACGACTATCAGCTGTAACGAGAATTTACCACAATCAGCTGATCGCATTACTTCTGAATCAACTGTGAACATCATATTGGCTTCTATCATTGTGCATAGCCTCATCTGAACAAGGCCGTGGTGAGACCTGTAGCACTAATTTCAATTGAGCGTCTGGGCAATGTTCATGTTTAAAAGTTTGCTATCTATATATATAAAAGGCAAAGCCCTCACTGACTCACTCACTCACTCACTCATCACTAATTCTCCCACTTCCTATTTACCTAGCAGGCTGAATTTTGGTACACTGATTCTTTAGGCATTAAATAGGAAAGCTAAGTTGTTTTTATTCTGATCGGACTCTCGGGCCCCATTGGCTCTGGAGTTTCCCATGTTCCTTATGAGTACTCATATTAAAATGGAATTAATGAATTTTAACAGCTGTTTCAATTAAACAAGTTGGTTCTGTTCTATGATGTGCAATAGCATTAAAGTTACAAGTATTACCAACAGGGTGCAGCACTATCATTTTTTTTTAATTTATGGCAACAGCTAATTTTAAACCAAAAGGTGAGTGAGCGTAGCGAACGAACTTCAACCTGGAGGTGAGTTAGCGTAGCGAACGAGCTTACCTGAAGGCAAGTGAGCGCAGCGAACGAGCTCCAACCTAAAGGTGAGTGAGCGTAGCGAACGAACTTCAACCAGGACGTGATTGAGCCATGCGAACGAGCTGACTTATGAAGTAAAACGGGGCAAAGCCCGCGGGTACAGCTAGTTACTGTATAATTATGACAATTGGCTGGCGGTTGCGATGTTGTCAATTTTTTCGCTACGATTTGTATCAGAGGAGGTTATTATTAAACAGACAGACACCATGAGATTTATATTTAATACTATGGATAGAATTGCGTATCTTTCGTATAGTGGTTCCAAACTTTATAGGTTATATCGTTTGTTGTTAAATCCTTTATTGAAAATCTAACAAATAGTAAGGTGTAACCTCCCAATTAATTGTATGAATTTTAGTTGGATCATCTGTAGAAGAAATTATTTAGTGCTTGTTTTTATACAGTTTCAATTTATTGTGAAGTTGTGAAAGACATTTATCTGAGAAGAACAAACTCACTGACTTGGGTTGTGATTGATCACCATTTACATTGGTTCTTGAAACGTTCAACTGATTTATACTGTTTTTTGGTTCTTCGTCTCTTACCAAGTTTTTCCTATAGGGAAGAAGATATAGCCCTAGGTAGCACTGTGAGACCTAGACCCAAGACCGATTTAATTCTCAGTTTTGTTTCCCCAGAGGCTAAAACACTATTTTTTATATGTAGACTTTATGTTCGTGAACACGATAACTCTTGAAAATTTGGTCCGATTTTGGCATTATCATGAACTTAAATGAGTTCGCGAACCAGAAAAAACGGGTAATGGGAACGAGGTGTTAAGAGGGTTTTGAATTATTTGAATTGGCTTTTTTCAAATTCACCCCCTTAGAGCATGAAAAAGCCCAATATTCATTATGGTCGTCGTCCTGAGCTTAAAACAAATAATGTAGTGTACCAAAGCGTTGTTCAACAATTAGAGGTTACAGAAAAATAAAAATAAAACTTTATATTTGAAATTTTTATGTTATTCTTATAGAGGAAAACCAAATGGTTTTTAGTTTGCTTGTTTATGCATGAAGTTTAATCATATTTGACAAATTTAATTATTTAAAACAACCCTATCATAACCTTATACACAACAGCTTCATCAACTATTTTGTATAAAAAACTGTTTGAGTGGCTCTTTTTTATTTGAAATAATTTAATCGTGCGTTTCATGTAAAGAATATTGTATAACATTAAATCAATGGAAGCTGTATTATTTGCATGTTATTCAAATGAGAGGCCTTTTGACTTTCAGACTGCAAATAAGTTAATGTTACTCCTATAGCAATTTAATTAGCCAATATTACATTTAGTGTATAATACAATACTGTTAGTATATTGGCTTTTGTATGTGTTGCTTGTTAGGACGGTATTATGCTGGAGGCTTTCTAGATGAATATCGAAAATACGAAATTATATTAATTAATTGCTATTTTAGAACGTCATGATATGTACACTACACTGTCGTTGCTAAGTGAATCTATTGGAAAATGTACACCATACAAAATAACCAGACGTCATATTGTTAATGTATAGAATTTCTTTAGCAATTAAAAGTTAACAATACAGAATGCTCAACTAAGAGAATAATTCAAAGTTTAATAATAATTCGTATGCTAAGCAATCTGGAATTAATTTTTGTTTTTTTTTTAATCTAGATAAACGACGCCATGATGCAAGTTTTTTGCTGGCCAAACCTAGTTTGATGACAGTTATTTGTTGTATTGTACCAAACATGTCTTAGTCGTATTCTCGAGCAATACCAAAAACTGAAATTCTTGACTTAAGACGAGACACGGAAGTAGTCATAATGAACGATTTCCTCCGGAAATTCTGACGGCGGAAACAGACGATGACGTCGCAAATGATGTCTACCCTTGATGTTCATTTGTTATATGCTATGAAGTTTGAAAATTTTCCCGTTTTTCTATTTATGATAATTCAATAGGTTATGTTTTCTTCATTTTTGTTTCGTTATTAAAATTGAATGAAAGTTTTAGTCAATTGAACAATGAGAAATAATTAATTAAAACTTGGAAAATGTATGGGAAAGACAATGTTTGATGTTTAAATTGTCATAAAATGTTGGACTAAAATAATAGGAAACAAACTGGGTGGTTGGATGGTTGTAGTGATATTTGATGGTTTAAAACTGGACTACCTGTTTTTTTCATCACTGGGCTTTAAAATAATGTTCTTGACTTGACAAACACTGATCTAAATCTGTAATAATACTATTTACCTTACTTTGTCCAAGTAAAAATTCATAAATGATGCCTACATAGGCCAGCCTACAATGCCAAGAATGGGCTTGTTAGAACTATAAAAGGCACCCATGCTCCATCCTACATCATGCACTCAATATTTGGTTTAAAATACATACACCATGCGTGTCGGTGCGTTTAAACAAATTAAAGAAGGGTTTCTGTAAATTTCAACTCGAGGAAAATTACATTAGCTTAGATTTTGGAAGGCTGTTGATTTTGAAGAGGTGATCACTGAGCTGAGATAGTAGATCTTGTATTGTTTTAGTGAATTTATCTATTTGATAGTATCAAGATTTGGCTATAAATAAAGTGGTTTTGTTCTCAAAGCTTTTTAAATTGTTTTTATCTAATCTTGTATCTGTTGTACACTAAGCCAATGTTTCTTTGTTTCAGCTGGAGATACAGAACTTGATTGTTCCAACATTGACTACTTCCCCAAGGAGGAGTACAGTCCAGACCCCAATGACTCCACTATGGCCATACCTTGTGAGTTTATCATCACAATTCACTTCAGTAATAATACCCCCTCAATGGTACTTTTGTCTGAATGAATTGATCAGTTGCATTAGAAGCGTAAAAAATAAATATTTGGAGATAAAAGTCTAAGATATGTATTATTTACACACTATGTAAATAATACATATATATAATTGCAGTTGACTACCCTATAGAGAGAATATCTATCTTTATAGGATGGAGAGAATAGTATATTTCGTACCTAGGGCCAAAAACCATTTCGGTCCGTGGTACGAACACCATTTTTCACCACACTATACCCTATTACCACCATTCGCCACAATAATAATGCACACTGATAGTCAACACAACTACAACTTTAAGGTTATGTGAAGAAATTTGAGGAATCAGCAAAAATAATAATAAATAGTTGCTAGGCAGCGGTGATGATAAAACAATTATATTGCAATGGTATGGATACTGATTGTGTATTTAATATGCATTCATGTATTTGATGTTTGTCATATAAATGATTTCTTATTATAGTCAATGAACCTCTTAATGTTTCATGGATAGTAATTTTCAAAAATGATCTGTCCAAATCATATTGTTTCCAAAAGTTCACAAACATTTTGATAATGTTCCTCTAGAACCAATAAACAATCCAATCACCTCCATTTTTTAAGTTGTGTCATTATGTCCTATTCCATGATTTTAAAATTTTAGTTCATCTAATTGAAGTACAAGACTGTCGTGTGACTATGGTCATTTACGTAACTAAGATGGATAATAAAAGTAATTGTACAAGATTGCTATACAAAATAAAGGAGCTCATGATGTCATACTATAAAAAAATTAAATCTCAATGAAGTTAGTTGAAGTTAGAATGATACTAATTGCCAACAGTTTTTGTTTTACTAACCTATACCGGACTTCGTTATAATATAATCAAAATAGTTAAAATAATCTAATACTATTTATCTTATTGGTAATCCAAATCACGATAAAACACATACTCCAAATATACACCTTCCATAGAATAGTGTGTGTTAAATAGCGTGGATAAAATGCGGCTAAGGTATTCACCCTGAAGCAAAATGGCAGCCGCAAGTTTGTCGCACAATTGGTTTACCAGCTCCCCAGTTTAGAAAACCTTGTTTCTGTAACTGGATTCCCGCTCAGTGGGGTCGAGTTGTTGCTACATTTCCCCAGTTTATATCTTGTGTTGTGTCATATTCAGTAGATGGGTTGTTCTATTGCCACCAGTGATGTACAACCACTAAAATATCGTGCTATTAGTTTATATTTAACATTAAAAATATGAATATTGCCTGTACATAAAATAAACATAAACAAGACATAAAATACAGCTTTATAATGCATTTTAAAGGGGCCAGAGGTAAAAAAAAGAATACAGAATTGGTTCATGGCTTGGTTACAATTGTAAATTTTTGTTTGTTCAATCAAACCCACCTGTTGGTTTTCCCCTGGCAACAATCGTGGTGATTATTCTGAGGTTGTTTATACAGTAACTTTTTTATATCGTAGCACTGAATTGTTATACAGGGTAAATAAAAAGTCAAGACCCCCCTCTCTAATATATTTCAAAGCAAATATACATAGATATCCTTTTGGTGGCCGTGCAATCTTAGCAGGAAGTTTCATTTTATGATTTTAAAATGTTTGAATGTACCCCAAAAGGGGGGATTTTGGGGGCAACTAAAAGATTTTAAATCTAAACCCCCATCAAGTGACACCTCATTTTGAAGAGTATACAAAAACATAAAGAATGTTGAAACCTAGAGCTCACTATATCTTCTCTATCCAAAATGGTAGCCAATATAACCATTAAGAACAAAATGTTACCATTGATTTTTCATAACACTTGACTGGCTACCATTTTGGATAGAGAAGATATAGTGAGCTCTGGGTTTCACCATTCTTTAAGTTTTTATAAACACTTTAAAATGAGGTGTCACTTGAAGGGGGGTTACTTTTAAAATTTTTTAGTTGCCCCCAAAATCCCGCTATTTGGGAGGACACTCAAAAATTTCAAAATAATACAATGAAACTTCCTGCTAAGATTGCACAACCACCAAAAATATTTCTCTGTATATTTACTTAGAAAAATATTAGAGTGGGGGGTCTTGACTTTTTATTCACCCTGTATAGCAACGAAGTAGCTTGGTAAGACTTGTTAAAAATGAAAGCTATTCTGAGTTTTAGCAAAATGATGCTGTAAAAACAGCATCAACACAAAAGTGTTGAAGTACGAAAGACGTACCTTTATATTTTCATTTATGCTGATGAATTGTATTTTTTATCATACATTTGGCAGAGTCTCATTGTCGCTTTTTTGACATTTATTAAAATTTGAAAAGTTTTCCCCTTAAAAGCCATGCATAGAAGAAAACATGAATCAGAGTAATTACTTGAGGATTATTTGTAAAAGTTAAACTGAAAAAACAACGATGTACAATCGAGAATTAATATTTCACAGCTGTAGACATAATGACTTATAGCCATTTTATCACCTGCTTGTTTCATGCGTGTGCAAAAGCCTGTTTTGCATAATAGATTTTTTTGTGCCATTTGATACAGCTGATATTACCCACCAAAAGTTGTTGTGTATTAGCACCACACAAGTAGTGTAACACATGTAGGTTTATACTTCCCTTTACCATGGAAATGAACACCAACATCATCGCTACCTAAATTCCACAAATTGTACTGCTTTAAAATATTACTTGTCATCACATTTAGAAATAGGTGCTTTATTTCTAGGCCAATTTATTGGTTGAAATGTCAGAATGGTAAAATGTCAATAATTTACATTTATACAGTTTTTAAGTGTAAAAAATCGGGTTGAAAGTGTAAGAATTGTATTTTTCTCAGCCTTCGAGGACAAGGCTTCAAACATACAACAAATATTTCACAACTGAGACAGTGTTTAAGTCTTGTTTTCCGCAAGTAGTTGCTTGGTTCCACGGATATTGGATCAGAAAAGGGAAGGATCGTAAACATAAATAAATGACGTCACCGGCCCGAAACTACACGTGTGTGTATTAATATTTAAATTGAACTGCCAAGAACGTTCAATTCAAATACTACGGTTTAAAACTAAATAATAATTCATCAATGAACTTCCTTTGAGCTATTAAATCAAATCTGAACCAAGTATTGTGGTACTTAATCAAAGTCATGAAGATAGTCATTAACATTCTTTACCAACTCATTTAGTTTCACTACAATTAAACATAACATTAAGTTCCAAAATCAAATATAGTACCTAATACATACTACTGTTATTTATTCAGTAGGAAAGTTTTAGTTTTAGCTTTAGATGAATACTCAAAATACACAATTTTACAATTAATTGATCAATCTTAACCAAAGATGAGTTGTGTGTAATCTTTGATAAGATACCTCATACATTTTACGACACTAAATGTACATAAAACTCATTTTAACAAAATCAAACAAAGGTGAGATGAGGTTGAGGAGTCAAGTCAAAAATACATTGTAAAAACACCCAGTTTGAGCATGTGTACAGGGTGTGTTGACACAGCCATCTGGGACATACATAAACAACTTGTGATCCTCCCCTCAGGATGTAAGGAAGCTCTGAGGTTATTTGTGGTTTCATCTTGTTTGTTGGGAACAGAGTGTTGTTTCTCGTGTGTATGTGTGTGTGTTTTCTAAAAGTTATCAATCGAATTAAGAAAGTCAGAGTATCAAAGTCTTGGTATATTGTTCTATAAAATATATATCAGTATAAATAGGCTACTTTCGTATATGTTAATTTTATGAATTTTGAGATCGTAATGGTTCAAATATCTTGTTAAAAGCAAGATAGACTGATCGTGTAGTTCCGTTGTTTGTTGGCAAACTATATTTTGCTTGTTGAGAATAATTTTCCGACGATTATATCATCCTGACGAAATCCATCAGACTACGGTTAAAGGGTGTATCATTCATTCCTAACTAAATTTTTATACAGTGGTTACCTGTATAGTTATGTAAAAACATAAAATAATAATCACATCAAACTGTGAACATTTTTGATTTGTAACTAACCTGTCTTGTTACTCATTGAAAATAGTTTTTCCCGGACAAGGATTAAGTGCTCAGTTAAAACTCTTTACCAATTCACGAAGTAAATTAAACGAAACTCTAAATGCAGTTTCTGGAATCTAAGTTTTGTGAGTAAAAGTTCCATGGAATAAGCTGTTGTTTTTCGTTGAAAGCGAACAAAAGTGAACTGACAGGTAGACAAACATAAATGTGATAAATAGCTTTATCATCTCTCAACTCTGTCATATTGCATATGAATCATGAGCTTGCACTCAAATCCAGTTTGTATTCACGTTTTATTCAATACAGTGCTCAATGTGCTTAAACAATAGTTAACACTTGTCTTAAGCAATCACACACTAAGTTAAATTTTATTTGTAAAGTCAATAAAGACAAAGTAAACTTTGACGATACAATAAAGAAGTCACCAGAATTGTTACTGCGCTTTGACCTATAAAAACTATTCCATATGTCATAAGCGATTTATACAAAATTACAAAATTAATTATTGAAAAATGGAAGTTATGCAAAAACCAAATAAACATATTAAAATAATATGTAAAAAAATAACTAAAACAATGAACTGTTAACTTGACTTTTAGTCCAGTCAATAAAGGGGTTGTAGAGGACATGGAGAGTGGGAAATTTTGTTTTGTAGGAATGTGTTCGGGGTAGTAAGAAGATAAAAATACTAAAAGTTCCCACCCCTAGCCCTGCTGCTTCAGCAGAGGGAAGGGGGGGCCTGTTTTATACATCGTACGGAAAAATTGTAAATTATAAAAATAAACCAATATGATGAAATTCTATACAAAAAAGGTATTATACATTTCCTCTGTATATTCCTTAGCTTTCAAGATATTCTCAAATAGATATAGAAATTATTTTAAACTAAAGATTTAGAAACTAAAAAATGTGTCTTCCCCCCTCTCCCCGCTGAAGCAGCAGGGCTAGGGGTGGAGATCTTTATTATTTTTATCTTCTAACTTTCCCGAAAACATTCCCGCAAAAAAATCCCCCCTCCATGTCCTCTACACCCCTCTTTTGAGTAGTTATTGACTAGACTATTTTTTATATACCAATGAGTTGGCAAAAAAATCTTGTAAAAGCAACCCTTTATAGTACAGTAAAACTATAGCAACAAGATTATGATATTACACATTATTCCATTATTCATACACAGAACATCATTAAATGAAGTAACCGGAGTGAAGAGCTTCAAAGTATCCCCCCCCCCCCAGAGAAGATCATCTTATCATTACTTATCACTCTTGGGGTTAGAGGATCCCAGCTCTTTGTGTTCAATCTCTCTTCCTCTCTCTCCCCCTCTCTTTCTCTATATCTATCTCTCTATCCCTTTCAACCCTTGATTCAGTTACAGATCAAAGGAAAGTTGCACTTAAATACATCAAAGGTTCACATTTATTTGTTGTCAAGTGAATCGATTATCAATCTTTTTTCCACTTGAGAAAATATATAAAAATTGCTCTTTTGCAGTGTGATATTGTTCAAAGCCTGTTTCACATTTCCAAGCAGTTGGCATTGGGAATATGTTTACAAAGCCTTTTTAAATAATTCATTTGGAATTTTTTTATTTGAAATAGTTTTAGAACCTTATATATTTAATGTTTCATTAACTGTTCTAACTACTTTGACAACAGCAAATTTGAATCAAAATATATATACAATATACACGAAGTATAAATATACCAAATTTGTGCTTTGGTCTAAAAACAGCAATAAGCAAATAGCTGCGAAATGCTTACTATTTTATCTTTATAGAATTTCACAGCATTGAAAATTTACTATTGTAAAAAAATATGTGGGGTAAAATGTATATGACATGATAACGTTTCAAAAGTAATTATCTTTAATATGCGTGTTGATGAGATTGCAATGGTAACTAATGTTATGAATACATTTAGCATGGCTTTTATTCCTAAAATGTTTTAATAGCAGCCAGTAAATGCACCCTCAGAGTTGCCAACTTTCCGCAAGCAATATTCTCAGTATTCTTCAGCCGGATAAACTCATTTACCCAAGCGTCGAGCAGAAGGTAATTTGATTTTCTTTACTTTTTACGTAACTCAGCTCAGATCTCATTTTAGAGGTCTTCTTAGTTTGATACTTTATTCAGCTGTATTCGGTTCGTTATTAATACAGTACTAGAAAAAATGATAAGAATATTGTGAAAGTTTTACATACAGTCTGCTAAATTTTGGCACACTTTTAAAACTTGAAAAGTTGGGACTTTTAATTAATAAAAAATTAAAAATGGGCGTAAATTGATGATTTGCTCTTCAAACTAATCACACACCACAAATATCTGGGGATGGAAAAACTCGACAAATCTAGAGATGAACATCATAAAAAACAGCTGGCTTGTATATAAGGTTAATTCATTTATTAAGTAAATTTGTAATGGCGTATATCTAGTGCACTTTAACTTAAAAATAATACATATATAGATATTTATAATGTTTGCTATAATATAAATAAAACCTAATTATAAATTAAAACACTTTTGACTTTTAAAGTAAACATTTTAAGGTATACATTGTATTCTCTCTATTATGTTAAGTACAAGTATCACAAATTATACCAGCTTGTAGTGTACTTTTGTCTCCCGTGAACTTTAAATGATACATTAAAATACTTCAAACCGCTTTGCCTATGTATACAGCTGTGAAGTAAACATCCGATTGCTATGTTTTATTGCAGCCAGTTTTAGAATACGTTGAAACGAGGCACCGGAAAAGTGTGCTGCTGTCGACTACCTTCCTGTTTTGTTAACTAACTTTGTAACCGTGCCAAACTAAAAAGGATGTGTTATTGTAAACGTATTATAGGCCAAATAAGCTACTAAACTTATAATTGTATCAAAAACAGAAAGAGAGTATCAATTTAGCAAACCTTGTTTAAGTATGATCTAATATTTAAACTACAATTGTGTGTATGTTAATGTTACCAGTTATCAACCGTAAACAATATGCAGATAAATAAACAATAGCCACTTAAAAACTAGCTCACATCAGTTCTCATAAAAAACATTGAAAAGTAAATGAAAGACTAATTCTAGTATCGTTAGCCAAAGTATTAGTCACAAAGGCAGAAATAAATCTGTGTTTCATTAAGCTAAATGGTTTATCCTACACCCTCCCCCTTGATTTAACAAATAAACTCTAAACACCAAATCAAACCATAACAACCAACCCGACCTATGAACCACACCCTACAACCAACCTCACTAAAAAAAATTCGACCAACCTTACCCTAACCAGCGGCTGAGGTAGAATTTCTATTTAATATTACTACAATCCTTCGTTATTTACAAGTCTCTGCCGCAGCTGCAATCCTTTTCTGGCTGAAGAAGACATAGTCTTAAAACAGCCTCAGTCCAGTAGGGTTTCCTCTCTCTGGACTGGAACATCGTGAAGAAGAAGAAGAAGAAGAAGAAGAAGAAGAAGAAGAAGAAGAAGAAGAAGAAGAAGAAGAAGAAGAAGAAGAAGAAGAAGAAGAAGAAGAAGAAGAAGAAGAAGAAGAAGAAGAAGAAGGAGGAGGAGGAGGAGGAGGAGGAGGAGGAGGAGGAGGGAGAAGAGGAGGAGGATTATGAGCCAGAATATTTTGATAATACTCGAAATGAGCTATTAATAGTTTAGGACTACTTATTGTTTGAGTTCCAGTTCCACTTATAGCTGATCCATGATCTAACCCACTTGAGTTTCAGATGTTGCATCCATCCAATACAAAGCCCATTCGTTATAGAGAGGCTGCATACTACTCACTTCTGTTGTTGGATTGGAGACCCAACTAACAATATCCTACTAGCATGTACTTGCTGCTTCTGAGATGTTTGATGCCAAGTTATATTGACTGTTGTGTGTCTCCCCCAGATGCTGTGACCAGAGCAGCAGTGTTCTTCGTGTCTGCCAGTCTACTGTTGTTGTGTGGAGAGCTGTGTTGCCTGTGTGGACACCTCTCCAGAACTCGACGACTGCTCACCTTCATCTCTGGCGTCATCTTCATCATCTCCGGTGAGTCTCGACAACCAACATGTCTGTTACGTCATTAATTATTATGTACAGGGACAAACTCAGAGGTTTATTAGAGCCTTGGAAATTTTAAAAGGCACAAACTTCTAAAGGCGATAGTATATTATGGGTTCCGTTATCTTTAAAAACAAAAACCAGTCTAATGCTACTCCGATATTCAACAATGGCTCGATATCAATCTAGACAATCTTTCGACGATCTGATCAACAATCAGACTAATCATAGCTAGTAGGCTTGTTTACTAAACTGTTTAGATAATCCTTTGAACAAATTTTGGATGGTGCTGCATCCTACATCACAGAATTTGTGTTGTTCACAGGTCTGCTGATGTTGATGGGTCTGGTGATGTACATCTCAGTGTTCAAGGCAGAAGTTGGCAGCAAACTAAGACCAAGGTCACAACTGCAACCCCCGATGTTCACCTTCAGATATGGATATAGGTGAGTGACCCACTATGGAATCTACTTCACAAATATCAATGTGATGTTTAACTGTAACACATAAATTAACATGAGAACTGGTAAAATTAGTTGGTGATGAAAATGCTATAATCGTTATATTAGTTTACTAATTACATTTTAAGAATTCTCTTTCATAAACTGAACCAATAATAGGTTACCTTACTCCTAAATACGTCATGTGCTTCATATTTTTTCTGAGGTAACACTACTAGCACTGCTGGGACTACCCTGGCTACCTTGGAAGTACTGGGTGTACTCCAGAGTTGTGTCAATAGAAGTAGACAACACAAAGAGTGCCTACAAGACGTCTACATAGCATTGTTTCACCGCGATGTTTGTGTTTCAGTTTCCTACTGTACGTGACAGGGTTTGTGACCAGCGAGGTGGCTGGGACCTGCGCAGTGTTCCTGTACATCTACAGGACGTCTACATAGCATTGTTTCACCTCTATGTTTGTGTTTCAGTTTCCTACTGTACGTGACTGGGTTTGTGACCAGCGAGGTGGCTGGGACCTGCGCAGTGTTCCTGTACATCTACTGGACGTCTACATAGCATTGTTTCACCTCTATGTTTGTGTTTCAGTTTCCTACTGTACGTGACAGGGTTTGTGACCAGCGAGGTGGCTGGGACCTGCGCAGTGTTCCTGTACATCTACTGGACGTCTACATAGCATTGTTTCATCTCTATGTTTGTGTTTCAGTTTCCTACTGTACGTGACAGGGTTTGTGACCAGCGAGGTGGCTGGGACCTACGCAGTGTTCCTGTACATCTACTGGACGTGTACATAGCATTGTTTCACCTCGATGTTTGTGTTTCAGTTTCCTACTGTACGTGACTGGGTTTGTGACCAGCGAGGTGGCTGGGACCTGCGCAGTGTTCCTGTACATCTACTGGACACAGCGTGATTGGGCGAGGAAGAGACTGGAGATGGCTACCACCAACCACCGCAGGAAGAGCAACTCGTCCACGCTAGACTATGACCATCAACCTCCTGTATATGTGGGAGGTTAGTGTTTCTAATATACTATTAAGGTTTTCATATTTTAACACTGGATAAAACTATTCTTTTGGTTTCATGAAATGTTTAGTTATATTTATGACACAAATAATAACTGTTTGGATGAGTTACTAACTATACAGTATGTGAAATTACCAATACTTACTATTAATTGAGGGCCCACAGGAGATTTTCCATAGAATAGAATACAGACATGATTTACTTCAGAAAGTATAGTATCTCAACCATTTTTTAATGTTCTGTGTGCCAACCATGCACACAAATATAAAAAACCCACTAAACTTCGCAGAGGACCTCGACGAAAACACTTGATAGATTATGCCAAGAACGGTAGAATTATCATCAAGTTTGTTTTATAATATTGTAAATCCAAGTGTATTTAAGACTGCATGTCAAGATGCCGCCGCAGTAATGTTTTACACAAAGGCAAGGGTAATTGAGATGTCTTGACTGTAATTGTCTCATAAAGCTTGGTTGTAGGCTAATTATCTCAGAGCAGCTTAATGTTTATTTCTCTTTGTTACTTTTCAAATTTTCTTACGGATGACAGGTAAATGAATTAGGCTCCAGGCTGACTCAAACCGATCTAAAAACACTGGTTGAAAAACATCTCATTAAACTAATTATTCTCACAAGTTATTTTTATTTTTAGAAGGAATCAATTTTCGTATAACGGTATGGTTTTTATACGGAAAAACTGTACACCCTTAAGGTTTGTGCATCCGTTTATAAATACCATAATAAACATCCCATTCATTAGTTTAGACCATATAAAATGAAAGAAGTAAAAGAATTGAAGTAATAATAAAAAAAAATATTAAAAAACTACAAACTCACGAAGTACTTTTGTTTTGTAAAGATCATGAAAAACAAATACTGTAAGACAAAAATAAAGTGACCTTCAACAAAATATATACAATATATTGAAAATATAACTGAAAGAGTGAAAGTCATGGATGATATTTATTTGCTTGCCAGTGACTGATGAGATGAAATGTTGCAATAAGCAGATTTAATACCAACAACGTTAAAAGCACAGCTGAATTCCCGTGACATGATAAAGAAGACAAAAAGCATTAATCAGCTTGCGATTAAAAACCCTCTTTGAAGCGTGATGAAATCATTTTCCCATTATAATCCCGTCTGTCTGTTTCAAAATCCAGTCTCAGTATCATCATCCCCAAAAGGCTAAATGTTTTAAATACTTAAATCAGATAAATTGTATAATGTACTGTGCTTTTTGAAAGAGTATTATTAATGACACAATTAGCTAATGAGAAATAAATTGTAAACCAACAGCGCGATTTGAAAAACTATAATTGTATTGCCTAAGCTACATAGTTGTTGAGACTAAACAATGTTTAGAGGAGACTATGTTTAGTAAAGATAGAATCTAAAACTGAATGGAAATCTGCTTTTAAATTTTAAATGGAACTATAATAATATAGAACACAATTGACTGCCAAATTGGCAAAAACATAAGGTCTACCGTATTTCTGCAATTTTTTAAACACTTGTTTTGAGCAGGTGTTGAAAATATTGAATGTAAGCAAAGTTTGAACAAAATATTCTGTGAATTACCTAGATTGTTGACCAAACGTATTAACAATAGAAATCACTGCAATAATTTAATTTCCAAAATAATTATTATCATGAGGAGGAAATTAAATGCAATTAAAATGCCTCTAAGAAGAGCAGACTCAATTTTTCTTTTTTTAGAAGGGGTTGTGATACGATTAGAGTGCAGCACATTTGTCCAAAAAGCCTATAGATTCAAACCCTGTCAATAATCAATAACACTCAAATGTTCAAAGCCACTGAAATCCATACGATAACATAAATTTTACCAACCCTACTTAAGTTAAGGATGCTCTACTTTTAACTACTTTATATTTCACCCTAACATTTAAGTGGTGGAACGTTAACATTTAAGTGCCCTTGTCGCGCTGAGCACCCCTTAGAGAGGCAATTAAGTATGAGTGCCTGATAAAAGGGGCAACTGTTATTTCCTCATGTGTAAAGATCCCTTTCCATAAATTAAAAGGTTTAAACAACAGACCATTATATATTTCACATGTGTATGAATGGATATTTATTCATTTAAAATTCACCTGTACCTTGAAATAGTAGTATTCATCACTAGGAGCGAATGTGGCTCTTTTTGGTACTCAATCACGTGGAAATCCGATTAAGTGCCATAAAGATACTTTGGTTTCGTGTGATGAACAGCTATTTTCATCATACAGGGGAAGTAACCTTCTAATAGCTTTAAAATTAGACAACATGATTTGAGGTTTTACAAAGTAAACATTGATGTTTACATTGCTGTTGTTTACAAACGTAACTTTATATGTATCGTGTGAGCACTGATACAATTTTAAGGTTAGCGAACCGAAAAATTTACCATATGTTTTTTTCTGTTTCCTATTTGACTTAACCAAACTAGCCGTTACCTACGGGCTTTATCCCGTTTGACTTCATAAGTATTAATAAAACTATTGATTGGTTAAGTTAAGCTGAAATGATAAGCTTTTAAATATGAAAACTCATAAGGTTAACATGGGAAACACCAGAGCCACTGGGGCAGAGCTCGAAGTGATTTTTGAGAAAATAATATGTCTATATATTAATCGGGAATGTGAGCTATCATTATATCAAATTTCAACCCAATTTGACCGAAGTTTATGCGTGATTGAACTTAAAAAAAAACAAAAAAAAAAACTAACAATTCCAACAAAAAAAACAAACACACACAAACTATCACATTTATGATATTAGTATGATATGATTGGTAAAGAAGCTAAGCTGATAAAGTTGTGACTTAAATGTATTAATATTTTGATAAACGATGATTTTACTTTATTTACAGAAATAATATTAACTCAAGTCTGAAGCAGAAATAAATTCTTTCTGTTTGTTAACATTCAGTGAACAAACAGAAAGAATTTATTTTTGCTGCATGTGAAACTCATTGCAATCCAAAAAATCACAGTGCCATTTATTTTGTATACCTACATATAGGGGGTGTAACTCTCAAAAAAAGCCTTAGAATAATTTAAAAATGTTATAAAAAAATATAATCAGTTCAGTAATTAAACCTCTGTTATCAAAATATGGAGAAGTCTTCGATGTAGAGGTGCCAGCACTCTCTCATCTCTCATCTTATTCAATGATAAAAAGGCTTTTGAGATCAATTCTGCACTCAATATAATAAATATCTACAATTCTATTATTTATACACGATTGTTCTATTTCTAATTTAAGAATATTAAACACACATCTTGTTTCAACAAACTCTATTTCCAAACTAAACCAATGTTTACAAAAACATGTTTACAAAAATCATCTGTCAAACAAAAGATATTTAAACACAAATAAATCATATGACTAAAAGAACAGACTTAATACAACATCCCGCCTCAAGATGTCTGCATCTTCATGAAGCTCGGTACCGCCTCGGTATCTTGATGGACCTTCCGTAATGGGTAACTGTGCTAGCGTCTGGACGATCACGTGAGTTAGATGGACAATTAAGGACCGTAGATGAACAGTTTGAAAGAATACAATCTTCTCCATAGTATGGTGCAGGAACTAAGAACTTCCGGTTTCGTCGAATGGTTCTCTTGTCAGTGTCCACAAGGTAGGAACGTGGTTCGTTCAATTTCCTGACTACTTTACCATGTCTACGTAGATCCCTGATCCATACCATGCTTCCCTCTTCTAATTCACTTAAACCACTCGCTCCATGTCGTTTATCAAATTGTATCTTATACTTCCACTGGTACTTATTCTCCCTCTCAAAAAAGTCTTTATTTTCCACAGGATTTCCAACCAAAGTAGATGGAAGATTGTCTCTTATTTTCCCCCCAAACATAAGTTCTGGAATCAATGGTTCACTATAATTAGTTGAGCTCTGAATACACACTGGACACGATTTGATTTTTCTTTCTATTTCTTGAGAAATTCCAGGCCACCACATGGTTCCCAAAGCACGTTTCCTTGTTTTTGTGATTCCCAAGTGTCCACTGTGAAGCCTCTCGAGCATTTCCGCTCGTAGTTCCTGAGGTATTATCATCCGAGTTCCTCGAAGCAATAACCCATCAATACAACTTAACTCGTCTTTCACGTTAAAGTATTCTTGAATCTCATTAGGTAAACTTGATTTTCCAGGCCATTCGTCTAAAATTTTTAACTTGAGTTGTGCACATATTGGATCCCTCATTTGTGAGTGAAGTACCTTTGTCACATTTTCATCTGTAGTGTTTATACTAATCATACTGATTTCATGGACGAAGGCTTCCACTTCTTCTGTCAATTCGCCATCTTCATTAGCCGGAATAGGACTTCTCGATAGCAGATCTGCTATGGCAAGGTCTTATCTTGGGGTCCAGGTCATGCGATAATCGTATCTCATCATACGCATTCGGAATCGCTGTAGCCTCGGTGAGAGCTCGTCCAAATTTTGTCTTTTGAAAATTGAGACAAGCGGTTTGTGGTCGCTCTCAATTGTGTACATTTTACCCATCAGGAAACATTTTAAACATGGCTCTGATGATAAAATCTGTTTTACTGTGACAAAAGCTTTTTCCTGAGTTGGTCCCCAAAAGAAATCGTTTTTAGTCTTTAACAAGCTCGTAATTGGCTCTAAAATCTCACTGCAGTTCGGAATAAATTTAGCCAGAAAAGTGATCATGCCCATGAATCTCTGGACTTCATTAGCATTACTTGGGGCTGGTAAGTCCACAATGCTTGTACCTTGCTTGGATCAGGCTTGATTCCTTCCTTAGACAACACAAACCCCAAAAATGTTACAGTCTTCTTGCAGAACTCAGACTTCTGCTTATTCAAAGTGATTCCATTAGCTTGCACTCTCTCTAGAACGGCTCTAAGACACTCGTCGTGTTCCTCTTTCGTTCTTCCCCATATCAAACAGTCATCAATGTGCACTAAACAGTTCTTTGCCCCTTCTAAAGCTTTTGACATACGGCGCTGAAACTCTTCATGAGCAGATGTAATTCCAAAAGGTAACTTACAGAATTTATACCTCCCGAAAGGGGTGATAAATGTTGTGTAATCTTGTGACTCCTCTGCAAGGTTCAGTTGCCAGAAACCGGAATTCGCATCGATCTTGCTGAAGTACTTGGCTCCCGCGATCTCGGACAATGAAAGTTCAATTTTTGGAATAGGATAAAACCGACGTTTCACACTGTTGTTGAGTTTGGATAGGTCCACGCAGATCGTAACCCCACCTCTCTTTTTTGCGCAAACTACCATTGGTGCGCACCAATCAGTCGCGTATTCAACTGGGACAATCACTCCTTTTTCAAGCATATTCTCTAACTGCTCTTTCACCTTGCTTTTTAAAGGTATTGGTACAACCCTGGGGGTAGATATAGCATAAGGAACTGCATTCTCCTTCATTTCTTACTTGTACTCTCCTTTCATATTTCCCAATCCTTGAAATAAATTAGGGTACTTAGTAACCCAGTCAATATCTGATGAATCTACAGAAAAGATCCTTTTCACCAGGTTCAGCTCTTCACAGGAACGTCTGCTAAGAAGTGGAACAGTGATCTCCTCAGAAATATACGCATGATCATAAACCGATACACCCTTATGTTCAAGCTTCAGCCTTAAAGTTCCTAAAATATTGATTCGTTCTTTCTTCTTTGCACTGAACACAGGGGATTTGCACTTTCCTAGAGGCAGCGTCTTAATAAAATCACCAAGAACTCCTACTGGAATCATGGTTACATCAGCGGCTGTGTCAAGTTTAAATTTTATAAGCCCTAACACTTGGTTTCCACAGCTTGCTTTTACCTCCTGGGCCCAGGCTCTGTTATTGTTTTCTATATTCCCGATGAAAATCTCAGGAACCTGTAGATCTCCACAGTCTGAAACTTGCTGTTCGATTTCTTTAACGTTTTTGTTTTTTCTCATCCACTTTTCGCGGTAGGGACAGCATCGAAAAAAATGTCCAATCTCGGAACATTTGTCACATTTGGCTTTCCTAGCAGGACATTCGGCCAGTGATCCGTAACCACATTTCCTGCACTTCTTTGTATTTTCTGCATCCTCGATGTATTTCTGATCACAAACTCCTTCAGTCCGATTCGGTTTACCGTTTTGAACTGACGTTTTATTTACCAAAAAAACATAAGTATTGGCGAGTTCACGTTTTTGGCGTTCTAGCTCCTCATGTTGGCGCAAGGTATTAATTGCTTTCTCCAGAGTCAATTGAGAGTCCAGCTGGAGTCTATCACTTAGAGCCTCATCTTTCATACCAATAATGAGGGCGAGAAGCATCATCTCATCATTTAGTTCACCCCATGCACACGTTTTCGCAAGGCCATGCAAATCTGTTATAAATTTTTCAGATGGATCACTCCCTTGCTTGTGTCTCAAAAATTTTGATCTCTCATAAATTATATTCCGTCTTGGCACAAAGTATTCATCAAAGGCCTGAAGAGTCTCGTCATAAGTATTAGGTTTTGGTGAAAACGAATCGAAAATATCTTCACTTCTACTACCCATTGTAAACAAAAGTACATCGATTTGCCGAGCGTCGGAAGTGCTATCCAGACCGCAACCCCGTCTGTACCTTTGAAAGCGATTCCTCCAGGAATGCCACTCATTCGGAGTAAAAGAGAACGTTTCCGGAGTTGGTAACGTGATATTGATCATCGGAGTAGTAGTACACATAACTGCATTATTTTCTCGGTTCGTATGTACCAATGCAAATCCTCGTGACTCATCTTTAGTCTTTCTAGAGTCCCTTTCTGAAACGTAGTTGAGTTCACTTTGGGTGTCGTCCTCACCGTTGTCCTCATACCTTTGCCTCCGAGTATTTCGTTTTTTTTCTGCCCTTACTTGACATTATGTGTGGTTTTAGACTTTCAGTTCGATAAAAATCCACTAAGCTGCCACCATGTTCTATTTCTAATACAAGAATATTAAACACACATCTTGTTTCAACAAACTCTATTTCCAAACTAAACCAATGTTTACAAAAACATGTTTACAAAAATCATCTGTCAAACAAAAGATATTTAAACACAAATAAATCATATGACTAAAAGAACAGACTTAATACAACAACGATGAAATACTTTTCATTGTACCATGTTTTACAATCTACAAAACTACTATGCTATAAACTAATTTATCATGTTCAATAGTAAATTATAAAAATATTGTTCAATATTTAGATGCTCAGGGTTTTTAACCGCATTTTAAAATGTCTTTTGAAAGCTACATAAATTGTAACGTATTTGTTTGATTAGCTTGTTTTCAATACCTCACAATTACACATTTTGACCTAGTGATGATTGTGCTTGAGGAGAAAGTAGAGTTACGTTTCATCTCTCTTGAGAACTCCTCAATCTATTAATAACAAACAATTCTGATAAATCAATCACAGCATCTCCACTACTTTCACACCTTCATCTCAGTTGAGTCTCAATATATTGGATACATTGCAATTGAAATTGTGTATAGAAATTGTATTGTATATGGAATCATTTTATGTACCGTATCGTGAATATTGTACTTTATTTTAGTAAGTCTAGAGTTAAACGTTTCCTTGTTAAAATATCATGTTTTTACTGTCATCAAAATCAATCAATTATTTTGCTATAACTGGAAAAAATAATTATTGGTTGACAAAACATTATTTAGTATTGGATAAAAAAATCCTTTTCCAAATTTTTAATTTTGCACACAACTTTTCCAATGCAAATATTTTTTCATTAAAATCTTGTATATGAATTCAATCGATATGTTTAGTTTAAAAATAAAAGATAAAAGAGTGATATAAGCCAGAAAGTTTGTTTTATCTGTGTAAAGTGAACATGAAGTGAAGGTGGCAACACTCGGTGCCACTTGGTACAACAAAGATGAAGTGAAGAGCAATCAAGTGACAAGTGGCCGTGATAAACTTCTAATCCTGTGTTATTATCTTCTCTAATGAGTGTTTAGATTTAAAAAAAAACATTCCACCTGTTCCGGTTACTTTACATATTTGAGTTTTTTTAAATCGGGTCAAAATAAAAATTAAATGTTAATTTTGTGATACAAATTTACGTCATGTGAATCCAAAAAGCTTGATTGAATTAGCCTTACAAATTCCTTGCGCAGGTATTTTGGAAAATTATGAATTAATTACAGGATTTTTATTGGGTTTTCCACTTGCTGTGAAAAAGAATACACTATTTTCTAGTTTAAGTGCTTTGTGTCTGTTATGGATCGTTGTATTTTTTTAAACCTGACTTTAAAGATAATGCATCTTGACTAAATTTCCTGAGGGGATCACTTGATGGATTCGTAGATTTGTTATTAATAAAGGTTTAATTTATTGCAGATGGCAGAAATTAAAAAAAAAACATTATAAGCAGGGAAAGTAATGTACCTCTGACATCGGATTTCTGCGTTTCAATAAAAGCTGAAACTAAAAAAAGTTATAATAAAATTGACATGTCTACAAATATTAGAAAGAGAGCCTCATTATCTGCACTACAGTGGGTAATTGATTGACCTTCACTGGAAAGTCAAAAGTCGGGTGTTTTGCTACCCTAGTGGTTAGAGTCTCCGACTTCGGTGCAGAATGGGCTGGTTCGATTTTCCCGACTCACCCACAAAGCATATGGGCTTAGACTGCTTTCCCAAAAAGCGTTTTTATATCACTCTCTTTATGTCCTGTAAGAAAATTTCAACAGCGTAGACAAGAAAAAAAGTCTATAAGAACTACCCTCAGTCCACTCCTGTCAACCATGCCAGGAGAGTCTACTTAGATAATGACGCCCTAAGTCCACTCCTGCCAACCATACCAGGAGAGTCTACTTAGATGATGACACCCTCGGCTTACTCCTGCCAACCATACCAGGAGAGTCTACGTAGATAATGACGCCCTCACTCCTCTCCTGCCAACCATAACACCTCTCCTATATAACCATTTAGACGCTGTCACTTCTGCCAACCTTACCAGGAGAGTCTACTTAGATAGTGACACTCTCAGTCCAAAACATAGTATACAACCATAGTAGTGAGCATCTGCCATGTTACAGGGGTGTACCAGTGTCGCAGACATCCCTTCTACCCTCCACCTCTCCTAGATAACCACTTAGACGCTGTCACTCCTGCCAACCATACCAGGATAGTCTACTTAGATAATGACACCATCAGTCCACAACATAGTATACAACCATAGTAGCGAGCATCTGACATGTTACAGGGGTGTACCAGTGTCGCAGACATCCCTTCTACCCTCCACCTCTCCTAGATAACCACTTAGACGCTGTCACTCCTGCAAACCATACCAGGAGAGTCTACTTAGATAATGACACCCTAAGTCCACAGCATAGTATACAACCATAGTAGCGAGCATCTGATATGTTACAGGGGTGTACCAGTGTCGCAGACATCCCTTCTACCCTCCACCTCTCCTAGATAACCACTTGGACGCTGTCACTCCTGCCAACCATACCAGGAGAGTCTACTTAGATAATGACACCCTTAGTCCACAACATAGTATACACACAGTAAGTATAGATTTCACAAAAAATATCTATGTTTTTGCTAAAACCATTCAAAACCTTGTAAAATGCCAAATAATAAATGAATTGTGTATTAACAAGAATTTAAGGGGTTTGGTTACAAATATCTGAAGTCTTTGACCTTACCAATCTGTTAAAAGGTAATGTCAAAGGTCACAACTTTTGGGTATGCCACAAACTACATTGATCCCTGAGTTAGCTTAAGCTTAACATTGTTATAAATTTATGATGAAGGTAGACAACATTAGTGACAGTAACAACAAAAGGAAATATAATATGAATATTATTTGCGTGATTTGTTTAGAACTCGCTAGCACAAAGTTTATCAAAATTTGATCAACCTTGTGCTAGCGAGTACTTAAAAAATTATATCTATCTATACTATTATATAAAAATCTAATGGTGTCTATCTGTATGTGTATTACTAATAGGTGCAAAAACAAAAACTACTGAACCAACTGGGCTTAAATTTTACAAAAATATAGCTACCATACCAAGGACCATTATAGGACTATTCACATTTCGATACTGACCGTAGGCTTTGCCCCTTTGGCTTTAAAAGTTCTGAGGTGAACATTTTAAAAGTAAATATTGATTAGTCTCCATGGCAGCGATGAGAACACTAACAATGTTTGTTTACATTTGCTTTGACATTTAAATGTAAACAAGAAGAACTGCTAAATTGCATATTTCATAATTTCAGACAGCTGATACAAAGAAATTAAATATAATATTTTCCATAACAATGAGGTAGGTTTATTTTAATCTAACCTTTTATCGTGGATTATTTATTCTAAAACTATGTCAATGATTGTAGAAAAAAAAGATTCTATAACCGTTACTGTATCAACTCCGGCTCTGCTTTGGCTTTTTTAAAGCGTCTAAGTTATGAAAATAATGTTATTGGAAAGTAAATAAAGATACGTCTTATAACACTTAAAACATATATTTACGCTTATTCTGTTACTCACAAGACAGTAAATATATTATAATTAACAACCCATCGTTGTCGATTGCTTGACATGTCGATGGTATAATGTACTGTAACACAATTAGACAAAATGATTTAATCACTTGCTAAACAGCTGCTTAATTGCATTAGTAGAATTGAAAACAAGCTGGAAGTCGTTTTGAGAGATCTTTACATAAAAATTATTTTGTTTTCTAGCTTTGTTTGTTAATTAATGATGCAATATGAAGAAAAATATAGTTCTCCACAAGGGCAAATGTGACTTTTTAACCCTTACTCATTTTCCAACCTCGGCTTGACACAAAACATTAATTTAATGAATTCATATAAAATGAATTAATTAATAACATTCTAATTTAAAGATTTCTTTTTACTTTACTCTTCCATTAACGTTTCCAAGAACAGATAATTGGATAGATGCCTGGATGGATTACATTTAACGTTTCAACGTCTCTTCGTATTTTACTAAACAAAATACTTACAATATTACAGTTATTTTTACCAAGGTGGAAAATAGTTCGCATTGGAGAGTTTGTTAAAAATTTATAATGAAAACAGATTACAGCAATTTAGCTAATTAGCAATGCTTATGGAATGACAATATTTACAAGAATTGTGAAACTATTTAAAATTACTCCAACGGAGAGTTATCATTATATTGTAATCAAGCAACTAGTGTATGGATGAATATTCATTGAATATATTTTACAAAATGCTATCAGTGGTACAACAAATTGTTTTTTTTTTATCAGTAAACCCACAAGTTATTTTTCAATAAAAACTCCAACCCTAGTAACTTACAACAACTTCTAGTACTGTTGATGCTGAAAGAATTTATTTCATATGTTAGTTCCAACTAAACAACACTCTATGTCATAGTGATATCCGATCCTATCCCTATGCTTCACTGTTGACGTCGACTTGTTCTGGTCGATTGGTGTATTTAATTTTTTTCTGTTTGACATTATTCATTGGTTAAAATTCACAATGAACTCATTCGTTCCAATGGATTAACAAATAAAAACTTTACATAATAAATTTAAAAGAAATAAATAATGTAACACACAATTTTGGGAATTATCAGAAATATACACTGAATTCCACTCAGCTAAGTCATAAACATCAAGAGATGTTTATCTCTACTCAATGTTATAACTCTACCAGCAAACCAAGGGAGATCTGATAAGCCTTGCACACAGCTTCAAAACAAACAAATTCAACATTTTAACAGCCTGATAATTCACACAAACACTAATGTTTCAACAAACTTTTCCCTCCACAAAGTTAAGTTTCAACTTCACCCCTTATCGCGCCAGTTATGCCCTGTGCAATAATCAGCCCCATACATTAGCCCCAAGTGCCCTTATCACCTTTATGCTAATACAGGGTCTTATCTAAGCTCTGTTACCATCACCTGAATACCTGAATGAGGCTTATATTGCACACTTCCAACATAATCTTCAATAAGTACCTTTACTGTGGGTATGTTGAACGCTGGTTTACGGTTTTATGGTTTCAGTAGGTTTTTAGCTCAAGTATTTGTACTATAAATACACGTCAAAATTATGTTAAGTTTGATTTTTTGTCCTTTATTTTATTTTTGAAAGTGTTGTGTTTTTTGGAATATTTGGTGTAATTGTATAACAAAAGTTATTATCCTTACGATAGTTTATCCACGCACACAACAATGTTGTTTGGGATGTCCAATTTACTGTGTTGGTTAAACTTACTTATGTACTGAGCTTTGCAATTTAAATAAATTTTTTCATACGAAAAAGGTTCAAAATGCCACATTCAAATTATTTACAAAATATATGCTATATCAATACAGGAGTATATAAGTTACTTTACACATGTGTATATGTGTGAGGGGGGACCACTTGTGTAAGCCTACTGGGACTGCTTATCTCTAAATGGCCATTATGTTAATTTCCACAGGCAATTTAACGTTATCTAGTCTACCTTAAATGTAACATTTACAATCATAAAGTACAAATATACCTTTGGGACGGGAAACATGTGCTGTGTATGGTTTATTCTAATAACTAAAACATTCCTAAAGTTTTTTTTTAATTTATAATAAACATAACTTTTGTATGTATTTTTTCCATTAGAAGAGTAATTATAGCTAAATTGTAATGGTGTTGGATATTGCATTATTTAGCGTAGTATTCAAATAGAAAACTCATATAGTGTTTGTAGTGGTACAAAATATTTTTCATATTTATGATAAAAGTAGACCGATAGAGAACAATAGAAATCAGTTATAATGAGCTCAGAACTTTAGTCTGGTAGTTGGCTTGATTGGCATTTTTCTAGGAATCTAGAGCCTTTGTTGAGCAAAATTGCTGGAAAAAAACAAAAAGGCTGCAACAAACGAATTGTGAGGGTTCCAGTCATGGAGTATAAATACAGTAACTTTGTGTGGGTTTTTTGTTAAATAAAATTACTTTAGCAGTACTGTACAGTCATGTAAGAGAGACTGATAGTTTTTCTATGGTACCTGTAAGTAAGTACACGAGTACAGTATATTTTACAAGACATATTTCAGTTGATATACCTAAATGGCTGGGATTTTCATTCATATATTTGTTTCTATATCATTTAACTCGTTTTTGTAGTTTCAAGTTTTAACCTACCTTGAAGGTTATATTAGAACCACAGATAAAACTCCCTCTAGTAGATTTCTCATCCTTATATGGAACAGATGAAGCCAATTTTATTGTTAGTTCTGTCCGGTGCACTGTAGAGGTGGTGTTTTGTTTACAATTAGTTTCTTGTTATTTCAGTAATTTAAAACCTCGTTTAGCTAAATAAAACAATCTAATAAACAATAACTCGTCCCCCAGTTATATAACCAAACAGATCATGAATTTAACACTAAAATAAATACTGTAGAAACTAAATTTTGTCCACTCTAGCGATCAGTGTCACCGGACATGAACTAGACATGAAAAACAATCTTCAACATTTACAATGTGATGAGAAGTCTACTGTGTTGGTTAGTCTGTGATGCAACGTATGCCTGGTCTTGTAACAGTCAGTTAAGAGAGGGTTAACTGTAATATATTTTTCTGTCCAGGGTGTAGGTGTTAGCACAGTGTCTAGCTGCTACTACCCCACCTCGTGTGGCTATCCCCCCGCCATGCTGGGGCCCTGGGACCCCCACTGTGACGGATGCCTACCCCAGCCCCCCACCGACCTGTGTGACGAACATCCAGACTTTGTCACATTCGACCTAGACGATGTGCCCCCGCTGAGACCTCCCCACCGAGCCCAGGACACGGACACCCTTAGGAGGACGACCCCGGTCTAGCGACAAGCCAAGACCGTGACTTGGCGGTAGCCAGGCCTGACCACACTTTTAATCGACTAAAACATTTAATATTTCAAATTTTAGATACAAGGTTTTGAATTTTTGACGTGAGTTCAAGGTGCGAGGTTAAGTGTGGTCATGCAAACTATTCAAGTGAGAGACAGGAAGTGTAGTGAAAAAGTGGAGTATAACAAACTACTAAGTCATCAGTGTCCCAGGAACTAAGAGTGTAAACATTATAGTTGTAAACTGTGTAATCAACTGCTGCACTAATCTAGTCAAAACATTGTTTCGACATGTCATATTATATTGAGTTTGTACTACGTGTGATATTTGTAGGAAAAATTGAACTACTCGCTAGTTACTAGTTACTACTTGTTACAAAAGATGATTACAAACAATCACTTTCATCGCCATAATTGTGATACATAGCAACAACTGGAGTTTTACACTTTTTATACTAGTTGTGAAAGTAAATGACTCCAAGAAACGTTGGGAAAACTAATTTAGCTTAAGTGATATGCTTGGATAAGATTGTTAATTAATTGTAACAACAAACTAAAACCAATAAAAGCGTTAAAAATAATATGATATTTAAAGCTTAAAACGAAAAGTACAGAAACTTTGCAAACAATCAAAGTGCACAGGTAAATGAGATTTATTCCTTGATTGAACCATCCACTGTATAAGCAATGTAGTATTTGCTTGGTTTGTATTTTAAATTACCTCGTTGAAAATGTTATAATAGACAAGAAATTAATTATAAATATTATTTAATTATAAGGAATTAACATAAATTAGATCAGGCTAAATTTGGACAACCCAAACTGAAATATGAAGATAAGGATAAGGATTAACCTTTAGTTGATAATTAATATCATAAAATATTGTACATTTGTAATTTTTCTAGTTCTATGAACAAAGGTACAAACTGTTTACCCAGTGAATAAAAAAACTGTATGTTTCATATTGTGAATTTGTTGAATCATGTTAGTTTTTATCAGAAAATTTAAATACTAGTAATATGTAACTATAGCACAACTTTATTACAATAAAGTTAAAATAAATTTAACAAGTTAATAATAATAGATGTTAAACCTTTATTTGAATAAACTAAAGTATAAAATTTATGATCTTGTATAAATGATGTTTATATTTTGAAATTTTATGAATGATTTGTTTGAATAGAATAAAAAAGTAGTAAAATTGTATTCAAATTTATTGAGAAAGCAATGTTTTTTGAACATTCATAAGTGTGATGTTTTTATTACTACCTAAGTCATAATGAGGTTAAAAAACTTTTTAATTACAAAAATAAAAATTTGCGACAGAACTGTAGTAAATTCCTATATATTTGTTCTTTTTGTTAACATTAATGTTTTTTCCCCTTAGTTCCCGGTTATGTACATTTCTCTCAACCTTTCATAAGCTAAAAACACTCTTCCTCAAAGAGTTATGTTTAGGTTTGATCCACACAACAGATTTGTATTTATAACTATATGCCTCAAGAGGTTATAGGATACTGTAGAGGCCAATGCAAACAAAAACTCAGCATTTGGAAACCAACATTTCTTAAAGAAAATGTCGTATTTCGGCATTAGATTCTTCAAGGCAGGTCAGAATAACCAAATCCACAACTACAAAGGAGGTAAGAACAGTTTGACTAAACATCTTCTGAAGTGAGGTGTAACTTATGAAGTTTAAATGAGAAATGACGTATGTCTGGTATTGTGTGTGCAAAGCAGACTCAAAACAAAGGATAACATAGTCGATGAGGGTTCCTTACAAAGTTTTTACTTAGGGATTGGCTGACCTGGACAATGAGAAGATAGACAGTTATTCGATAGCTAGATAAGTCCTTGGAGGCTAGTGGCCATTTTGGATTATTTAGCCATTGAAGGGTATTTTATCATCCAAAAATATTTTTGCTAATTATCAAAGTGATTGTAATTTAAATATCTAGTGTACTGTGGGATTTGAAATTTTCTTCCTACTTTTGTAATTTTTACATGAGTTATAACGTCTAGGCTCCAAGGACTCCGAAAAACTGGAAAAGCAATAATACTAGAGTTACAAATATTTACAAGTAAGAAAATTTACAATTAAAAATTCTACTTATCTTGATCAGTGAGTCAATTGCACTCCTAAAACACAAATATTTAAAAAAATATATAAAATTAGATTCTACACATAATACTTCCAAAATAGGAACAACACTAAAATAGTAAAATGCATTCTGCCTGGAAATGACAAACTATTGTTGAGCAAGTCAAAACAAACATTCATTGTTGTCTATACACCATCTCTATTGTGTTTTGACAACTACTGTTGTGTCATGAATTATTAATTCTTGAGAGATATAATTCTATTAACATCGAAATAATTCTTAACTGTTGTTTAATTTAAGTTTGTCTGATCCAAATATAACAGTCAGTACTCTTTTACAATTTATGATGTGAAAGAATTTCTAAAACAAGAAAGAGTGATAATGCCCAACCTATCCTACCTTCCCAAAATTATCACAAACTAAAAACGGTATCAGCAATCTGACGCATGGGTAAGCGGTGGGAGTAACTATGATAATTTTGTAGAAAAATCACAAAAGTTGCAATAACTTTTGAACCGTAATTGTTATAGTAATTGGGGTTGCATTATTTTGTTTTATTTTGTTATAAGGAACATAACACATTCATTTCTATCAAAACCGTTTTTTTTTTCTAAAATCAGATTTTTATTAATTTTATGGGTTTTTTATGGGAAAATAACATAAGTTACAATATTTTTTTAACTGTAATTTCTACAGTAATGGGATTTGTACCATTTTGTTTAGAATCTAAAGGACTATATATAACATACAACATTTTTATCAAAATCGTTTTGGCCATTTTATGAGAAAATCTGATTTTCTGTTTTTTTAATGGGAAATCCCCATTAAAAATCAAAATTGAAAAAAATTTAAAAACGCTTGGAGATACCATGGATCAGTACCAACATACCAAATTTCATCAAAATCGGACTACAGGTGTGGTCTGTCTCTGTACACATACACACACACACACACACAGACATCACTGTGAAAACCACTTGTTTTGGGTTCAGGGGGACTCTAAATAGATATATCCACTCCACTTAAAACTCAAACTACAAAATTGTTACGAAAACAATACTTTTTCCATATACTATGTATAGGGGGAGAAAGTAAAAAATCAACTTTTGAGAACTAAACTTTCAATGCCTCTCACAATTTTGGAATTATGATTATGTCAGCTTCGAATACAATTCCCACTTTTACATTTCCTATCCTCCTACATAATATGATGTCTATCCGGCTGTAATCATATCTTTACATGAGTCTGATGCTCCCAATCCCCAGTCAAAGGTAGGATTTGTGCTACAGAGATTTGGGAAATGATGAGTTCAAGCCAAGATATCTCTGCTACAAGTAAAAAGCTGTTAATGGATTGAACACATAAGAAAACACTATTGTGATTTGCAATTTTCACATGATTAATTAAAAGAGCACATTGCTATAAATATTGATAGCTCATTGTGGATTTAAGCTAACACAAAACTGAAATGCAAGACTTTTCTTTAAATAAATCAAAATGAATAGGATATACTATTTAATAAACTCCTAGAAACTAAATGTCCAAATAAAAATTCCTTTATAAAAATGGAGGTTATAAAAAATATATATAAATAAAAAATATTGATAAAAAAACTGCTACCATGATTAGGTACAAAAATGATTCAGAAAATTATTACTTTTAAATGCAATGATTTTCTGATGAAAAAGTGTTATTAGGTACTAGTTATTTTTTGTTACATTATAATTTGGTGAAATAGTTTCAATGAACTAAGGTATTTTTCAAACCTTGGTTTTAATACTGTTCACCAACAATACAACAAGTCACAATTTGTATGCTAATGCTAGTGACAGTGTACGAAAATCAAATGAATAGGGTAAATCTCTATGCAAATCACAGTCTTGAAAGCAAAATGAAGAAACTCTGCATTCATTGAAGCGTCTGGTGGGAAAATGATGAACCATTGTATTCAAGACAATGGCAAGTTGGTGAATTAAAAACTGTGTTTGCGTTTAAAGAACAAAAAGTTGATTCTTCAATTTTTGAATCCAAATTATGTAGCCATATCCTACCTTGTAAAGGTTTAAATATTGTCGGGCATAGGTTGGTATAAGGTACAGTAATAGAGAACCTCAGTACAACACATTACAGTAGTGTAGGCCGATATGTAATTTTTTTTAGGCGAAAACTTAATATATTTTGAAAGATGATATAGTAACCTCAAAATAGGGTGTCATTTTCTCAATCCAAGATGGCGTCCAAAATAACCGCTGTTATGTACCATTTTTAGGTTTTTCCTAAATATCTCAGAAACTATACAATTTTTTTATACAACTAATTTTTGTAGAAGATTAAATTTCCTACGAGAAAATTATATAATATAAGTATTTCGGTTCAACCGTTTACAAGATTTAATAAATATCATTTACAAATACTCCTTCAATAAGAAATACATGTAAATTTGTATCCAAAATAAATGCTAAACGTGGCAAAGCCTATCCACCTATGGTCACAACCAATATGTAACCTGTATAACAAATGTTTTTGAAATCTTGACAAAATTTCCAGCAGTTTGACACTATAATCATAAAAATTGTTTCAAAATTGAGGTGAGGATGAGCACACAAAACAGTTGTAATTAAAGAAACCATTACAAATAATGTGGTTTTTGTGAGCTCGCCAACGCCTTAATTTTGGACCAATTTTTTTATTAAAGTTCCAACTGTTGGAAATTTTGTCAACAGTTAATAATTACACAACACTTTTTTGAAGGGGTGTATCTTAAAACTGCCTCCTATATTAGTGAAAACCGCATTGCTCAAAAAGTTAAAATTATCAACACGTCAATAATAATTTCTTACTATATTATTAGAATGTTAGTGTATGTTCGACCTGCTGTAAAGTAGCCCTATCCACTCCGAGGAGATGTCCTTAACCAATTGAGATCACCTGTAACACTGCTAAGTTGCATTCTGTTTGAAACTGTTATCAGAAAAGGATTGGAGAATGGCAGACATAATGAAGGGAAAGTGAAGTTTTAGAACGCCATAAATGTTCAACTTGAGTTTCCCTTTAAATCACGTACCAGCTGTGTGTAACGACATGAGAGAGACAAACATTATATTGCAGCAGTTTGCGATAACTCTGCAATATCCCGAGCTTGTTAAACTTAACATCTGGCCCAATCTACATTACCTTTTTGCTTTCTCTGATAGAAGATTTTATGGTAATGTAGAGATTATTACCATTCCCTGCAACTGTATGTAATAATTCTTTGCTTAAAGCTGTGTAGGTGTACAATAACCAATAAGGTGGTGATTTTCAATTAATTTATAGTCATTTTTGGTTGGAAATTGTCTGCAGTAATTTATAAAATAAGCTTACACTTACTGCAACCATTACTACCGGTACAGGACTGTTTTTACAATCAAATTGGTTTCATGAAGATAACTACTTTGTAGTGGTGAGATACAGGGTTTTATACTAAATCTTACATAGACAAGCTCCTCTCTTAAAAATTTACATCAAATGTAATGAAAAAAACAACGAATACAGAAATATACTGGAACAAATTATCTCTATAGCATAAGTAGCTGCTTATTAGGTTACCAGCATTGCGCAGTTCATATACTATTTATTTTTCAAATGAAACTCGAATTAATATCAAACATTCATTTGGTTAAACTGATATATCAGTTTGATTAACATAAAATAGTTTAAACAGGCAAATCAGTTCTATTTCATGTAAAAAATTAAGCAGCCCCTAAATAAAATACAAAGATAAACAGTATTTGTTAATTATTATGTCTTTTATTGCTGACAATATTCCCGTGGCGGAGCACGGGCGGTTAACTAGTAATATAAAACCTAAAGCTCTGTTTGAAAAATGTAACACCTCCTACCGTTTGACATTAGACAAATCACATTAAACGTCATATAGATTGGCAGTTAATATTACTCCGATGTCAAACTTAAACTGACAAATTCAATTAATTACATGTCAGATTATCTGACAATCAGATTGCATCCTTGTCACAATTGACCTGTTGACTGCAGCTTCACTTGATGCACATATTTTTACGGTAAAAGTAAAAATCAAAATTAAATTCAAAGCCAATCCAGTGTACACAGTTTTGTAAGTTGTCCAAAATGGTTGTAATATCCAGGATTTTAAGCTATATGTGTAATATGTAGTTGAATTTTGTCAACACTTTTGAAATGTGGAATGTTTGTTGAACAGTCAGACTCTGTGTATAAATGGTCTCCTGATTCTTCACAAAATATTCTACACTTTGTAAAAGTTGTTTTTGTAGATTGTTATCAAGAAGTTAACATGATAGAGATAAAGTGTTTGTGAAGGACTTTCCATTCATGACAGTAAAAACATGTGTGATGAGCTTTTAGAAAATGAGGGTTATAGCCCTCAATTCAAAGGGTTGACTCCTTCATTATGGTTTCAAAATGTCATACATGTTTAACCACTTTACTATTCATAAGTAAACCTCATACAAATTAAGACACATATACCTAGAAGCGCAGAGTATTAGGTTCTTTTATCTGTGCTATAAGTTTATCACCATCTACACAAACTGTACAAGTATATACCTGTATTTACCCTGTATTATAGTCTGTATTTACCCTTCTGTGCATGTACATACATACTGTACACTTTAGTTCTAGTTTGGATAGCTTATTCGCAGCAGGCTCAACGCTAATTTGCAAGTCTAATTCCTCCATTTACCTTTACTATCCCAGAGCCCAATAGTAATGCCCAACAATCATCCCTCTATTGAGGTAATTAACTATTCAATTACTCTATCTTAATTAGTTAACTCCTTTGAATAATTACATAATGTGAAGGTGAAGGTTGTTTAGTATGGTCTAAATAGTGCAAACCTACATATAAAAAACTTTAGTTCCATTGTGCACTAAAATGCAATTCTGGTAGGTTTTTAGTTAGGGCTTGGCCATTTAAAAAAATGTATAACGTGTTACGTATTGATTAAAAAGTATGAACAGATTAAATGTCTGTTTTTTAACTGCTACTGGTACAGAAATGGAAGTACCGGTTGGCTCCCATGTGGTGGCCAAATCAAAATACATATTAATACCCCCGCCGCAGCAAACCTGCAGAATAAGTGAATTTCCATTTGTGTAATTTGAATTTCACATAAAATATTTCCTTAAAACATAACACAAAACGTAATAGATTAGTACTAAATAAATAAATTTACCAAATTCTATCTCAATATATTCACAAGCAAACTACTTGAGTTTAGTTCTTCACTATAAGAAAACATTGAAATTTTGAATTAAAAGTTTTTTTGGAATTTTCTCCGTAACCATTTGGCATACAGCAACGCTTCAATGTACTACATTACTATTTTTTTAGCTCTGCTCTAAGTTTAAAACATTGCCACATAATTAGATTTTTTCCTCAATAATAAAATATTGTCTTTCGCCCGGAAGAGATGTGAGAGACCTCTCATTTTCTCTGTTTAGTCTTAGATACTTATTAAATTAGTGACAAAGTTACACACTCTAACAATCATATGAAATAAATGTATTTAATCTTACAATGAAAAGATTTAACAACAACCCTATACCTATCAAATAAAACACTGAAGACCATCCTTAACCCCTTTTCTAGTTTGTGATCCCTTTGAGGTTTATTGACACAGGAAAGGTTTTCACGGGTCAACCAGCTTTACTTCTTTGAACCTCTTTTAAACTAGATTTTCCTCCCCGTTGAACTTTTATGGTTCAACACCAACAGACTGTCATGTTAGAAAAGTGTTGAGTGCACTATAAAAACCAGAACATATCAAATTACTTTATAATGGATCACTCAAAATCCATTACACAGTAATTTTATCAGCTTTGATTTTAACCGTGAAATATTGCTATTTTAACTTCATGTCCGTAAGTTTATTCCTGTACATAATAATCCCTACAAACTTGTACAAGGTGAAAATAAGCAATAGTAAAAGGTTTTTTGTACTAATGGAACAAAATGTTAATATTTTTGTATTAAGGTATTGTTATTCAGTTTTGAAAGATATTTCTAAATATGCAAGTTGTCCGTAAGTTGAGGTCTTCATCGACCTCAAGAGGGGGTTAGCTTCTTATAGTTCATTACAATGTATCAATTACCACATTTAAAAGGGTACAATAATGTCACAAGACAAGGTATACATAAATATTTATTTCAATATAATATCATCTGTACTAAAATGTAACTCAATATACTACATTCATGATTATTTGCCTAAATCTAGATTTTTTTATAGGAAAACTATGTCTGGTAACTTGGGTAAAAGATATGAACATTTTAAAACAATATAAGAGGGTATAGTAAGCAAAGGAGGAAAAAAACAATACCTTCTATAATGTTGGTCAAGAAACAATAATACAACAATGTACTTAATCTACGGTGTAATACGTGTATAAACTCTATTCTCCAAATAATAGTTTATGTAAACATTTTAATACACAACATCTAGGTACGCTTCTAAGGCTTACGACACTTATGAATTAACCGTTCAGATAAAAACATAGTAATAACTCCCAATCGAGATTCTAGTTTATAAATCGTCATTGTCTATATGTCTATAAAATATAATGCACTGTCATTTATCAGTCTATATTTAGTCTCATTTTATATTTCTGTAAAATCTCTACTAAACCCTAGATGAACTTTAGTCTACACCTATGCACTACTTTAGGAAAAGACAGTTATCACACAGGCCTACTGTCTCAAGGCAGCTGATCAGCTAAGTAAGAGATCTTTATCTCAAACCTCAAACTATTTTGATTAAGATCTTATCTGATGTAAGACACTGAATTCCCTAAATTAGTTTTAAACCATTTTCAGTTGGACCTATTCAAAAATACTATTGTATGGACACATAGCAAATCCATTCACAAATAAACAAGACGATTATCATTTAAACAGGGAAGACCATTCACTAACTAAGTGGCAAACAGATGTAAATAAAAAATGCTGGGGGATTGGAGGAAAAAGCTGGATAGTAGCAATTTGTTCACAGTGGTATTTTGTCACTGTAGGATTACTGTATCCAAGAAGGCCTAAGTGGCCATAGCCTTGTCTAATAATATAAAGAATATCTCATTTCAAAATCACACCTAATGAAAACAAGTCTTATCAGCCGAGAGTACTATTACAACCTGCTGTGTTGTGTTCAAACATGAGTGTGTCCAGAGTACTGGTCTGGTAGCCACATGAACTGACGCACCTCCTCCACACTGGAAGGACAACAGTGCTGTGGCCGAGACTCCACCATGGAATCTCTTATCCTCACCATCATCTGCAAAGTAGAGGTTTTCTTTCATAATCCAACACTTCACAATGTGAGGTAATCGAAGGTCGGATGCACTTCCGGCAGTAACAAAGTAAGCAAGCAGTACTATGGATCCTCTTCCCTCTCCACTCATATACTCATGTTGAAAAATAAGAAGCATACACAGTCACAGACTTTTTACGTGTAAATAATAGGGATGGACGAGATTGGATTTTTAGATTGAGACGAGACGAGACGAGATTTTTTATTTCTCATAAAATTTCAAAACGAGATCGAGACGAGATTTCTCTTCTCATACACAACGGGAAATGCACGTTCAAAATTTTTACCTGATTTTGTAACATTGTTAGATGACTGTTTAAATACTAAAATAATGATAATAGGCAAGGATATTTACAATCTTTCATTAAATAACATCAGCATAACATTTTTTTATTAATCATGCCTAACTTATTAAAAATGCCTACGATTAGGAAACATGGTGATATCAGTTAGGATAGAGTTCAACTTATCCTAAAATAAAATAAATCATAAAATAAAAGCAATATTAATTTTTATAAAATAGTTACTTGTTTTGACTTTTTTTATAGTAATAAAACATTCCTCACACTGCTTACACTTAACAAAACTTCTCAAATGTTATTGAAGTAACTAGCTGACCCGGCGAACTTCGTATCGCCTAAGTTATAGGTTTCCCCTAAGATGGAAAGAAAGTACCGTTACGTTTAATTTTCAAGATGATCTCGTTCGCATCGCTCAATCACGTCCTGGTTGAAGTTCGTTCGCTACGCTCACTCACCTTTGGGTTGGAGCTCGTTCGCTACGCTCACTCACCTTTAGGTTGGAGCTCGTTCGCTGCGCTCACTTGCCTTCAGGTTAGCTCGTTCGCTACGCTCACTCGCCTCCAGGTTGAAGTTCGTTCGCTACGCTCACTCACCTTTTGGTTGCAAATTAGCTGTTGTCATAAATGTAAAAGAAATAATAGTGCTGCACCCTGTTGGTAATCCTTGTAACTTTCATGCTATTGAACATCATAGAACAGAACCAACTTGTTTAATTGAAACAGCTGTTAAGATTCATTAATTCCATTTCTCATAAGGTTAACATGGGGAACTCCAGAGCCACTGGGGCGGAGCCCTTTTAAGAATTTCGAAACGGGAAATAATTTACGTCCGATTCGCATACCTACAGAATTTACACACCTAATTTCATAACGATCGGTGAAGTCGTTCCGGAGGAGTTTGCAGACAAACACTGTGACACGAGAATTTTATATATTAGATAGATATTATTAAAATAATGAAAGTAATATTTACATTAAAAGAATTAAAGTAATATTTACATTAAAAGAATTAATTAAATAAGAACGCCTTCGAAAAGGAAACGCAACTACAACACGCTCCTGTATTGCGGGTATTGCATTGACTTTCTGCAGGCGTTTTTAATTTTTTTTTTTTTAATTTTTTTTTATTCTTGTCTCGATAAAAATCTCGGTCAAAAAGTAATCTCGTCTCGTGTATTGTATTGTACACATATCTTACACGTCATTGCATAGCCCACTTTTAATAAGCTATAACAGTCGTATTATAGTTGGTATTATAAGTTGGCGAGGCAAAACCTTCTGAGGTTTCAATGGCCAAGGAGGTAAGGTAAGGTAATAGTCGTATCATTCTGACCAAATAAATTAGAAAGATGAAACCTTGACAATCACACATTTTTTTAATCAAACACATTCTCGGCCTTATAGCTCTGTTATACTATCAAGCCACGACTGTACTTGCCTTGCAGCCACCTAAATACCCAAGTTACAACCGTCACTTACCTGTCTATTGGTCTGAGATGCCTGCTGATGGTTCACTATCCTCTCTGGGTAGTCTCGTCCTATCACACACTTGGCCTTCTCTTGCTCTTCCAGGGAGGCCTTCCATGGCTCATAGATGTACTTGCCTTGCAGCCAACTAGATACCCAAGTTACATCAGTGACTTACCTGTCTATTGGCCTGAGATGCCTGCTGATGGTTCACTATCCTCTCTGGGTAGTCTCGTCCTATCACACACCTGGCCTTCTCTTGCTCTTCCAGGGAGGCCTTCCATGGCTCATAGATGTACTTGCCTTGCAGCCAACTAGATACCCAAGTTACATCAGTGACTTACCTGTCTATTGGCCTGAGATGCCTGCTGATGGTTCACTATCCTCTCTGGGTAGTCTCGTCCTATCACACACTTGGCCTTCTCTTGCTCTTCCAGGGAGGCCTTCCATGGCTCATAGATGTACTTGCCTTGCAGCCAACTAGATACCCAAGTTACATCAGTGACTTACCTGTCTATTGGCCTGAGATGCCTGCTGATGGTTCACTATCCTCTCTGGGTAGTCTCGTCCTATCACACACCTGGCCTTCTCTTGCTCTTCCAGGGAGGCCTTCCATGGCTCATAGATGTACTTGCCTTGCAGCCAACTAGATACCCAAGTTACAACAGTCACTTACCTGTCTATTGGCCTGAGATGCCTGCTGATGGTTCACTATCCTCTCTGGGTAGTCTCGTCCTATCACACACTTGGCCTTCTCTTGCTCTTCTAGGGAGGCCTTCTACGGCTCATAGATGTACTTGCCTCACAGCCACCTAGATACCCAAGTTACAACAGTGACTTACCTGTCTATTGGCCTGAGATGCCTGCTGATGGTTCACTATCCTCTCTGGGTAGTCTCGTCCTATCACACACTTGGCCTTCTCTTGCTCTTCTAGGGAGGCCTTCCATGGCTCATAGATGTACTTTACTGGGAGATGTTCTACCTCTGGCACGTATCGTCTGGTCACACAAAACAACGTTGTTTTATTTCCAATTAACAACCATACATAATGTATTATTTTAGCAAAACATTTTTGAAACAGGCTAAGTGTGATGATATTTCTATTGATTTTCTTCGGTGTGCAAAAGTTGTAATACAAATGGTGTACCAATAACTAATTCATAAATTAATACAGAGCAACAATGTGATTTCATTGAAATGTACTACATCAGTTATTACCAAAAGATAGGTTGTACCAAGGCCCCACTAGAAAAAAAGGCCATGCTGCAGGATCCATGACGTCACACTTGTGGATAGATTCACTTCCATATCCCAAATGTTTAGGTAGATAAGCTGTTTACAATTTTAAATTTACGTCTTGCTACTTTAGTACAAATTACCACCACTGTGACGTAGTGTTGCGCTGCCTGCGCTGCAGCATGGCCTTATTTTCTGGTGGGGTCTTGGTTGTACACTAAATTTGTTCATAATTATGGCCAACATTTACCATACAAAATATTGAAAAATCACACTGATACAGTTAATGAAAGAGACTGGACTTACTTAACATAGTGTCCCCAGGGGTCCAGCCTTCGACCGAAGTTGACAGGACACACACACTGGTCACAGTCTAGTAACTGCTCAAATGCACTGCTGCTCACCTACAGAGTACAGATCAACAGCTGTAAAGTTGTAAATTGTTATACAACACTCTTACAAGTGCTGTAGTACTGTGCATCACTGGCGGCGTTTCCCATAATAATGTGCAAAAGAAGAACATTACAAGGCAGGACAGTTAAGAAATGCAAATAATAAAGTTTGCATAATTCAGTGATAGAGGAGTTGACACTAATGTGGTAGAAACTAGAAACACTGCTCTCTGAGTAGGCCTAAACAGCTGAGGCAGCTATTATGATCAACAAAATCAGAGTTAACTTATATAATCAATCCTTATTTACCCAAAGTTTAATCATCTCTAGAATCAAGAGTGCTTAAAAAGTACTCCCCCACTCATTCACATTGAAAGTAAAGTAGAATATTTCAGACTTACCCAGAGCCAGTTACCCGCACACACACTCCAGTCAGCATCTATCAGCTGTTCCAGAAAGAACTGCAACCCTTCTACCCAGCTGATCCACAGATCTCCTCTGGTGAGGAAACATGCAATCGCATTACGAGCCACGTGGTGAATCCAGCCCTCCTGTAAAAAACAATATAATTGTTCTGCCAACATCATACAGTTGCAAAAGAGAAAAAGTTGACGTACATTAATCCAGGGTATTTCAATAAGTCTGAGAGGAACAAAAGCAATCCCTGAGATGCAATTGCTGACCATTCATGGACACAAAGACTTTGTGATTTTACGAGTTGAGTACTTTAGCTATCGAGTTAAACAGGGTATCAAGTCGATTTTATACTTTTCCTATACATTCTGGTACAGGATTTATCTTTAGTTTAGTAATTTGAGGGTTGGCAATTATTTGAGCTTCACCTTTGAGTTTGAATTTAATATTAAATACTTAGGCAGTTTCCAAAATCACCACTATGAGTCAGTGCTAAATGAAGAGTACATAAGTAATTGTGCCTGAGTCGTTCTCAAAGTTGCCACTACCACAGATGACTAGTACTCTAGTTCCAACTCAGAATCTAATAAAGAATCTAATAAAGTGTTATTTTACTCAAGTAGACTAAATACTTTAACTGTTGACTCCATTGTGCGTCAGGAGGATTTCAGTAATCTTTGTGGTTCAACCTGTTTAACTGTTAGTAGTTTTTCTAAGCTTTCAAAGGTTAAGTCACCTGTTTCATCTGCCTGATGGCTGCGTCTATGAAGGGATATCCAGTTTTGCCTTGTCTCCATCTCTCCATCATCTCTCTGGTGGTTTTGTCTTGGGAGTTTCTCCAAGGGATGTCGAGGCAGATCGAGTTACCTGTCACAATCATGTCTCAAAAAAAGAATAGCAGTTGCTGCCTACTTCACAAGAAGACATTTTTCATATCTGCACTTATTTAAAGTAATACAGCAATATTTTATCAGTAAATACTAACTGGGCCTAGCTGCTGTCTATAGTCCCCTGCTCCATGCTTTGCAACAGGGAGAGAATCGGGAATAGAAAAAACTAGGTGCTTTTAATCTGCTGTATAAAATTGATTCATAATTTGCCATTGGTTCTCAAAACAAAATTCAATTACTCTTTGGTTTGATTAAAGCTTCTCTTTTTAATTCTTAATTAATTTTGAGTGGTGAAAACTTGAAAGTACTGATGTGTCAATTCTCGATACTACTTTGATTTTTCCCAAAATATTTCTTTGTGTGAGGACAGAAATACAGATTGGTGGTGGGCAACCAATCCCTACAGGGTGTTCAAAAAAGGTACTTACTTGATACTTGATACAGTGGCGGTTCCAGAGAGGGGGCCATAGGGGCCATGCCCCCCCCCCCCCCCCCCCCCCCCGAGAATCAGGTTTTTTTATTTTTTTCAAGCTTTATAATTTGAAAAATTGACTTAAAAATTTCAGTGCACATCCCCGTTTCCCACCATCCTATGCCTTCCTCACGTCAGTGCGTCAGTCATACAGTACATCCTACTACCCACTATAAAAATAAAAAAATGCGGCTCAGTAGTCAGTTGAGTATTTGTTTTGTTACGATTTTTTTTATTAGTAACACAGTTTTACAAGATTCAACCTATGTGCATCCCTCCACTTAAGCACAAGCACATGACAAAATTAGAATGGTAAGTAATGAAAGCGTTTAAGGCTTAAGCTTTGCCTAGCTGTTTTCTAAGTTAGGTTAGTCTAGACTCATGATTGAGCAACCGCCATTACGTACTACGAGTGCGACGTTGCCGATGTCTACCTGACTACCACACTGACGTTTCTACAGAGTATTCACTCACGTAGACATGTGCGTTCGAGTGTATACAATGGTATACATCATCAACGTCGCAGTGTCGCACGCTCACCCGCCTGGCTGAGAAATGTAGTACAGATACCATCTATATTATAACTTTAATACAGAGTATGCTTAATCATCTAATACTACTCCCCTGGATACTGGCGCGCTGTGTGGTGGAAAAACGGGCCGTGCCCACCATTCAAAATGGTGGGATACTGAGGCCGGCGCCACCGGCGGGTCGTATGGACCTCTCTCTTTTACACAAACATACCTTTGCTACACTTATTTTTTAACATAAAGATTTCAAATTTATATATTTTTAGACAGTGCTCATTAGGCCTACTGTGTAGTTAGTTTGAGCCTTAACATATTATTTTGTAGCCTAATTTATTTAGGCAAATTAAGATTGATGGTCGATTTTTAACAGCACTAAAAACGTCAAAAATGTAGTAAGCGAGGAACTTTTTTATTTTCTGAAACAATCATTGTTAAAGGAATACAATGCGCGTCGACATTATGAAACAAAACATTTAAAAATAGATATGTGAAATTACAGGGCCGGTAAGAACAGAAAAAGGTTTATCAATGGTTTAAGGAAGTTTTGCATTTAAACTCTCCCTTTCAGATTACAAGAGATTAAACTTTTTCTTCGTCAGAGTGCTTAAAATGTCGCCTTTGTAAGTATAACTTTTCCAAAATTTCCCCCCCCCCTCCCACAATGGGGGGTATTCCATACCCCCCAAGCCCCCCGGGAGTTGTGGCCATGCTGGCCTAAAATTAGAATAACCCGACACCCTCGATAGAATGGCCCCCTCCGAAAATTTGCCCTGGACCCGCCCTTGACTTGATACCTGCTTGTGTCTTTAATCCTAGACCGACAATGTCGGATAGACTGCGTCAGAGGCATATTAACATACTATTTACAAATTATTTAAAACTATATTAAGCGATCACAGCAAAAATGTGATAATTTTCCGCAGTGGTGTAGATATATCGTCAGTGTCTCTTACAGTCATTGAAATCCTGAATATTTCTGCAGTAACGGAATCATAATGATTGAGTTCCACCATCCCGGAAAAATTCTTAATATCTCCTGGTTTTGTGTAGACATCATTATCGTCTCCTGCAGTCGTGTAGACATTGTTTCATCGTCTCCCACGGTCTCGGCAAAATCCTAAATCCTTACTGGCTACTGGTAGGGACATAATATGTAGTGATTCCTTGGGTCAAAAAGAGAAAATCAAGAATAACATTTTTTTTATTGCTTCGTTAACCGGATATCCACCATTTTGTATTTTTTACATAAACATTTTTATATTTGAATTTTTTTGCCGATGTTTATGCAACTTGGTATGTATGTTAAGGTAGAAGAGACCCATGGTAGAGGAAATATTCATCTTGATTTAACTTAAAATTTTAAAATGGTGGCCATTTAAATCTTTTAAACTTGGCTTATTTTATGAAAACATTTTAATGACACTTTCATTTAGCCTTTTTAATTCCCAATCAAATTATACTAAGTTCAAAAACATTGAATAAGAAATAGCTGTAAAATGTTTAGTTGTAAATTGAGGTAGAATAAGGCAGAAGCTAGTCAGGTTTGGCCCATTTTACAGCTAAAATCGTAATATTTCAGCAAACCTTGACTGCGGTAGAAGATATCAAAACGACCTTTGGACATATTTATGATTTCGCCGAGACCGTGGGAGACAATGAAATAATGTCTACACGATTGCAGGAGACAATAACGATGTCTATACAAAACCGGGAGATATTAAGAATTTTTCCACAATGGTGGAACCCAATGATTATGATTCCGTTACTGCAGGGGATATTCAGGATTATTCCGTGGCTGTAAGAGACAATTGCGATATATCTACACGACTGCGGAAAATTATAATGTTGTTGCTGTGAACGCAGGAGAGGATGATGAAGTCTACAGGACTGCGGGAGAAGATAATGGTGTCTACAGGACCGCAGGAGACGTCAATGATGTCTACAGGACCGCAGGAGACGTCAATGATGTCTACAGGACCGCAGGAGACGTCAATGATGTCTACAGGACCGCAGGAGATGTCAATGATGTCTACAGGACCGCAGGAGACGTCAATGATGTCTACAGGACCGCAGGAGACGTCAATGATGTCTACAGGACCGCAGGAGACGTCAATGATGTCTACAGGACCGCAGGAGACGTCAATGATGTCTACAGGACCGCAGGAGACATCAATGATGTCTACAGGACCGCAGGAGACGTCAATGAAGTCTACAGGACCGCAGGAGACGTCAATGATGTCTACAGGACCGCAGGAGACGTCAATGATGTCTACAGGACCGCAGGAGACGTCAATGATGTCTACAGGACCGCAGGAGACATCAATGATGTCTACAGGACCGCAGGAGACGTCAATGATGTCTACAGGACCGCAAGAGACGTCAATGGTGTCTGCACAACTGCAGGAGATGATACTGAATTTAGCTGCGATCGCAGAGGACTATGATCGTGTCTACTGGACTGCAAGATAATAATGTCTATATGACTGCAGAAGATGACCATTATATTAGCGCAGACAATGATAATTCTAAATGAGCGTGGGAGATGATCAGAATTTTGCTACAATACCTGAAGACGATGATAGTTTCTAAATGACATTAAATATTCAATATTTTACTGTGAACACCGAAGGCATTGATAACGTATCCGTGATGATGATCCGTTGAGCGATATTCAGGATTGTATCTAAAGTTGACACCTCTTACACGAATGAAGTCACAGTTATTTAGTGTGATAGATAGACTTTTGAACTGGACTCTATCTATACCTGCGGACAAGCCTACTGAGGCTTTTGTAGCTTTGTATAAAATGTATTTTGCTTATTATGTTTTTGAAGCATGAAATAAATAAATAAATTAGATGGGTAAATGGCAGTTGTGTGTGGGTGTACCTTCTACTCTGTCGTAGTTGGGGTTTCCCAGACTCATGGTGTAGAAGTACTCCCTCCAGACCAGCTGTCCAGTGATGTTCTCACATGCTGCCTCATGGCCGTGGTGTATTGTAGAGTACAGATCATGGATACGCCAGTAGAACCTACGTCAAACAAACCATTACCGTGTTAATCCAGTGTTATTTGTTTTATTTTGGTAGCTTTATTAGGGCAGGAAACCTTTACAGCAGGAATTTGGAAATGGTAGTAGGTGACCATTGTTGCCAACAACAATTTTTTCTGTATCAACTGTGGCAGATTTAGGACTTTGCACCATGCATAGGATGAATGTATCACAACAGCTGAAAAAAGTAGCGATAATAGCAAGATTTTTCCATCACCTTAATTAACTCATCATAACACACATATTAAATTTGAATTTGTATATAAAATGTCCTTTAGGTAATGTTTGCTATTTTTTAGGTTACGTTATTTGCTTTCCAGATGTAAGTGTTTTATATAAATAGTGAAATCAGCTAATTTAGCAAGAGAGAATAGGCTTTCCTCTTGCAAACGCATGAGAACGAATAAGGTGGAAATAAGCTATATTGGTGTATTGCGTACTGTTCACAGGTATGGCAATGTGACCATCCAATGCAGTGGTTGGAAAAATAGCATCAACTCACAAATTACCAAGAATGTAATTGAATAATGTAAATCAAGTTACATGCCTGCGTACACTGAGGCAGCCAGTGCTGAGTGCTGCACTCATACTTGTAGGAGGGCCTAGCAGATCTGGCTGAGCTTGGTTGGGTAGGTACTGTCTGTAACAGTAATATTGTCTTGTAAATCAAGTTACATGCCTGCGTACACTGAGACAGCCAGTGCTGAGTGCTGCACTCATACTTGTAGGAGGACCTAGCAGATCTGGCTGAGCTTGGTTGGGTAGGTACTGTCTGTAACAGTAATATTGTCTTGTAAATCAAGTTACATGCCTGCGTACACTGAGACAGCCAGTGCTGAGTGCTGCACTCATACTTGTAGGAGGACCTAGCAGATCTGGCTGAGCTTGGTTGGGTAGGTACTGTCTGTAACAGTAATATTGTCTTGTAAATCAAGTTACATGCCTGCGTACACTGAGACAGCCAGTGCTGAGTGCTGCACTCATACTTGTAGGAGGACCTAGCAGATCTGGCTGAGCTTGGTTGGGTAGGTACTGTCTGTAACAGTAATATTGTCTTGTAAATCAAGTTACATGCCTGCGTACACTGAGACAGCCAGTGCTGAGTGCTGCACTCATACTTGTAGGAGGACCTAGCAGATCTGGCTGAGCTTGGTTGGGTAGGTACTGTCTGTAACAGTAATATTGTCTTGTAAGTCAAGTTACATGCCTGCGTACACTGAGGCAGCCAGTGCTGAGTGCTGCACTCATACTTGTAGGAGGACCTAGCAGATCTGGCTGAGCTTGGTTGGGTAGGTACTGTCTGTAACATTAACATTGTCTTGTAAATCAAGTTACATGCCTGCGTACACTGAGGCAGCCAGTGCTGAGTGCTGCACTCATACTTGTAGGAGGACCTAGCAGATCTGGCTGAGCTTGGTTGGGTAGGTACTGTCTGTAACATTAACATTGTCTTGTAAATCATACACAGTTACATGCCTGCGTACACTGAGACAGCCAGTGCTGAGTGCTGCACTCATACTTGTAGGAGGACCTAGCAGATCTGGCTGAGCTTGGTTGGGTAGGTACTGTCTGTAACATTAACATTGTCTTGTAAATCATACACAGTTACATGCCTGCGTACACTGAGACAGCCAGTGCTGAGTGCTGCACTCATACTTGTAGGAGGACCTAGCAGATCTGGCTGAGCTTGGTTGGGTAGGTACTGTCTGTAACATTAACATTGTCTTGTAAATCATACACAGTTACATGCCTGCGTACACTGAGACAGCCAGTGCTGAGTGCTGCACTCATACTTGTAGGAGGACCTAGCAGATCTGGCTGAGCTTGGTTGGGTAGGTACTGTCTGTAACATTAACATTGTCTTGTAAATCATACACAGTTACATGCCTGCGTACACTGAGACAGCCAGTGCTGAGTGCTGCACTCATACTTGTAGGAGGACCTAGCAGATCTGGCTGAGCTTGGTTGGGTAGGTACTGTCTGTAACATTAACATTGTCTTGTAAATCATACACAGTTACATGCCTGCGTACACTGAGACAGCCAGTGCTGAGTGCTGCACTCATACTTGTAGGAGGACCTAGCAGATCTGGCTGAGCTTGGTTGGGTAGGTACTGTCTGTAACATTAACATTGTCTTGTAAATCAAGTTACATGGCTGCGTACACTGAGACAGCCAGTGCTGAGTGCTGCACTCATACTTGTAGGAGGACCTAGCAAATCTGGCTGAGCTTGGTTGGGTAGGTACTGTCTGTAACATTAACATTGTCTTGTAAATCATACACAGTTACATGCCTTCGTTCGTAATGCTGGTTCGTAATAACTGTGAAATATACAGATACTATCTAAGACGTGTCTGAGTAAAATAGGGATACAAATAGTTCTATTTTATGACCAGAAACATTCTTTGTTAATTCTTTAAGTTGGCAAGGTGAGTTATTGTTATTAATTATTTAATTGAGCGGAGCGAAGCTCTTATACTACACTCCTGCTTTTGTTTTACAAATACTCCTCCTGAACTGCTGAAGCGATCTGTACCAAATTTAGCACAATCATAGTGACCGACCATGGGAAGGTATAAATCTGAAATGGAACAAATCGGACTACAGGGCTTTTCCCTACGTGAATTCAAACTTTTGGAAATTTAACATGGGCCTTATGGGTTAATTGGTTGCCATGACATTATTTGCGAGATAACAATAAAAAGGTAAACATGAGTCGCAACATATGTTAGTCAACGAATCATCTAAATGGCATATTACAAATACCGTACAGAGAAAAAGGGAAGAACAATCGGATTAATATCATTGAGCATAATTTACTACAAAATAAATATAACCAATAATTATGGTCGCCGGAATAAGGCTGATGCACCATTGACTTTAAATAAACCAAATAGCCATTCCATTTATTTGAACAAAATCTAGGCATACAGTTGAGTAGACTTTCCATTAATGTGTACTAGCCTAGAACTAGACGTACCATTCAATAATGTAGACTTTGAATAGGTACTGAAATTAGGAATTCCATTAATAGAACTAGAGGACCCATGCTACTCAGCAATGTTAAAATAAATATATTATCCGAGAAATAGTTAAATTTATGATTTTTGATTGAGTAATACAGTATCTTGAGCTTAACTGATTTAAAGAATCAATAGCTCAAATTAAAGTCCATAAAATACTGATTATTTTGATTCAAAAACATATTAAAAACATTAACAATACTGGAGCTATTGATTTGTAATCATAGAAAATCCTTATGAAAAATAATTTTTATGTTGGTTGTTCACCTTGCGTTTGCTTGAAACTCGTCCGATTTGAATAACTAATAGCTTAAAAGAAAGCCGGTATTTCACTGAAGGTTCTTACACCAAAACATATAGGATATAATTATAACTGGTGAAAAACTTCTTAAATTGAAGTAATCTTAAATTAAAAAATTAATCAAATCATGCCGATGCATGATGGCAAATCTTTGCGTGCATGCCTTCAATTTGAGACCTCAATAATGAAAATTGGTCGGTTAGAAGAGCCAAACGAACTCGGAAAAGAAAAACAATTTTTTTTGTATATAGGCCAAAGATACTGCAAGTAGACATTCGATTTAAGTGAACCAAATATACCATTGACATTGGATACTGCAAGTATTTTATCTCATTTACTAGGAACAGATGTAGCATTGACTTTAGAAAAGTATTGGATTAATATGCTAGCTCCGCTCAATATTGCAAGCAGACAACTGATGCATTGTACACCTAGTTTACTTAAACTTGGTTGGGGGTTTTCATTTCTAATGTATTTTGGATTTAGACTACTCCACTGCTTCAGTCACTCCTTCAGTTATCTATCTATAAGCTTTACCTTTGACTATTAATAAAAGACTATTATTAATCCAATAGTCAATGGTACAACTCAATGGTTATACTGTAGTATACACTGTCAATTATCCGAGCCCTCGGGTTATCCAAGGTCGTTTTAAGGCCTAAATATATATTTTTTTATTTCCGGTCGGGAAACAATATAATTACGTTTTTAGCAATGTTTCTGTTGAAGAGAAAGTAAACATAGCACAAGTAATTAAATACAACATAATATAAATTTGGTTCTTAAAATTAATACTTTAAATAATGATTATATTATAGGTATTATTTTAACGTACAATTTATTTGCAGTAACCAGAACATAGAAAATGAAAATCACACACTTAGTACTAGGTTGACCGCTAACCATTGCCGGCTCGTATCCGATTTTGGCCTGAGATCCGAAGGCCAAATCTTTAGACTAGACCCAAAAAAAGAGCCTGGCCTGGAGGATCCCTACTTATAAAGGGAGTCACCAATAGTTTACCCATATGACCTACACGATGACAGAACTTTACTGCCTTGGGTAGATTGGTAGTATGTTGGTACAGCGGTGACAAGAAGGTTTTATTTGAAAAATATATATTTTATCATTATCTATTTATATTATTTTATCGTTAGTTACTCACCCCTGCCTGAACGCTGTACCCTCCACTGCTGCTCGCTCCTCTAATTGTCTCAGAGCCTTGGTCTCTCCCCCCTCCCATCTGACCATCCTCTCCCCTAGCCCTGTCTCCGGGTGAACCCCTAACTCCTCTGGGGTAGGCACGCCATGGTGTATCTGTGGACATTTACCAACCACAAGGTTCAATTGAGAACTATTTTCTAAACTTATTCTTGGGAGGGAAGGGATTTATCTCATAGTTTGGGACGGACCAGCATTTTTATTTCCTTCTTAATTTTCAGGATAGGAACAGATTTACAAAAATATAGAATAAAAATTTTATCTATTGCACTGTTATATTTAGTCATGACTGTAATCTGAGATCGTGGAACCATTACTATTATCTCCCGTCATTGCAGTGATATAATCATTGTTACTCGCCACAGTGAAATCTTCATCATATCGTCCGATAGGAGAGACATCATCATTGTCACTTACGAACCTGGTGAAATTGCTGTCAGAGCCCCTCTATTCCTAATGGCTTGACTAAAAATCATGCTTAAATGAGGTTGAAGTGTTTCTAAGTAAGTAAAGTTGCTTACGAGGTTGCAGAACATTTAAGTAGCCTATAGATTTATGTCGTTTTTATTGAGTTTTACTTGTATACTTTATTACTTTGAATTGAAATGGGGATCATACAATAGTTTTAAATGAAAGTTTCTTTATGTTAATAGTAATACATATAAATTGATACATTGGATTTTTGAGTTCAACGGAAAAAGACATGACATCTACATAGTACGCAGCCTAATCAAAGAATTGTTATGTAAAGCTTAGTATTATCAACACTGAGTGTACCATTCACATACCTTTTTTTACCAATTTATAGTTACCTAAGCAAACTTTTTGAAAAAAAAAACACAAAAGTACATATGTAAATAAAATATTGAGAAGGATATATGGGCCTATATTCAGATTCTGTAAGGTTTGGAAAATACTGAGAAATTGAGTTAGTTGTCTGTAGTCAAGTTGGCTAGGACAAACATCAACTTATAATTTGGGTGATCACAGGAGTAAGTAACACATTTTTTCACATCTTTAAGCATCAACACACACATAGGGTATAATTATGACAATATAAATGTACACTGTTACTAGTAAAATTAATCTCAAACCCATTAAGGTTGGTGCTTGAATATATAAAAAGTATGAGTATAAGACTTAAAAATTTTCACTAACCTTAACGCTGTCTGTTGAAAAACTAGAGCTAATCTGTCCGAAAGTCACATTCAACAAACTGACGTCCTCCACAGGGCGAGGGGGAGGTCCAAGAACTCTTACTGTGTGCTGCAAACATTTATATTTGGCTTAAAAACCTTGTATAAACAAATAAAACTGTTAGGACTAATTTACATTCAATCCAAAGACGTCAAAACTACTGTGTCACAGTGTAAGCTACTCACAAGGAACATCTGGTAAGTGAGAGGAGCTACTCCTCCGTTGGTCTTCACCACCATCCTCGGGTCCCACAGTGTGTGAGAGCCTCTCTCTATAGTCTGCACATTCTCCTGTTGACAGAACTGCCGTACAGCTGCATCCCGCCTGTGCCAGATGGGCTCGTAATCCTGGACAATCATTACACAAGCTATAAAACATTGTCAAAGTTAGCAAAAGTCAAACATAAATTTATATTATAGTGTGGTAGTTTCCCAATCTTTTTCATCCTCTTTTCGCTGATAATAATGAATTGTAAAAAACCGTCCCCTTTTAATTTTCCAACACACAGAGTCGACAAACTCATTGATCAACAAAAACCAACGGCTTGGTACCTATGCTACTATTATGTGGACCAAATATTAATTAATGCAGTAACTGCACTGTAGGTGATCCATTCCTGTTCCTATTTTGTTTTTCTTTAGTATTTTTCCTGACAGACCATTAAGGTACAAAATCCACTCTGTCAAATTCCACTATAAACTGTAGGTCCCTTGTCATTGGCTGTTTGGGCTATTAATTAACAAGGAATATTCAGCCTTAGTCACTAACAAGACTACAAGGTCGCGCCACTTATCCTACACTCATCTCCATTCATACTTGGCTTAAAATACCTACAATTTGTATGGTCGCCATTTCAAAGTAAAGTATAAACGTATGTTGAAACCACCAATTCCTAGAAAATATTAGGAGACTTAACATAATAGAAGATCATTATTTGTTTAACCATCCAAACCTTGTTAATACCTTAAAATAAAAAATCCTATACACTTTTATACTATACTTTATACTGTACTATAATAGTTTTGCCAGCAAATCTGGAAATATGCAAACTAACTGCTGTTCTAAATATAAGAAGGTTTCAACTGACTACAAAATCCTGTGCGTAGAACGGGCACACAGATAGTTTTTTTCTAAATGGTCAACTGGTTTTTCCAATCTGGGTGACGTCGGCATATGACGGGAATAGCACACCTATGTTTTTCCTTCCACCATGAGCGCTAACACTTTAAAATGCTAATCAATTCATATTTCAGTACACTAGTAGTCATTTTCACATAGTTTAATTTTGAGACTAAACTAAACAATTACCTCGTCAAAGCTGAGCCGGTGCAGTCCTATGGTGTGTTTGATCCTCCGTAGGACATCCGTAGGTTCTCCGTGCAGTATGTACAGGCAGCCTCCGTAGTTGGACAGCTGAGAGTTGAGATCTGCCAGACATTCTAGCAGGAACCTCATGCGGTTGTATGAAACCTTGGACGCTCCTGAGAGGTAAATGGTAAAACTGTGAGCTATAAAATATACGCAAGACAGATCCAGACCATCCAGACAGAAGGAATTTTAATGTTAATTTCTTTTGAGTGTAATTTGGTTGGCCTAAAACAAATGTTGGCTTTGGCCTATCTAAAACTTTGCCTCCAAAATAATGCTGACCAGACAAGCTTTCGATTGTGATTAGGGTTAACATGAAACCGTTAAAATAAATCTGTTTATAAAACAAACCTTGAAAGTTAAGGACTAAACTAACTAAGTCTATCAATAATCAGAACGGGAGGAGCAATATAAGAAAAACTCCAACCACGATTTATGCGAGTGTAGGTAACTCAACAAAGCCTGCTGGAAACTGTGTCTTACATGGGTGACAAGTGTTTGAGAACGAATTTGCTGGGAATGGGGTTGGTGTACCAGTAGTGATTGGGTAGGTGTTATAGCCTATCTAAGACGTTTGATGACTAAGAGATTGAAGGCGTTGTCTAACCAGCCTGGATTCGGCAGCAAAATTAAAAATTTTGACTAGGTGAGCAAATTACGGGTTCACATGTCTGCGTGACAAAGCTTGGTAAAGAGGTCAACCCTAAATAAACATTTAAGACAGCTTGAATGAAAGTTGAGGGGATGAGTAGGTAGATTCTGTAAGATTAGCAAATTCAATAATCAGACTTTGCATAACTTTACCAGTCCTCAAAGAATATGTGTCTTCAGAGGATTTGAACTTTTTGTGTTTTTATTGTATCTTATTAGCTTTTGAAAAAAAAAGGCAATGATGTTTCGGTATAGCTCAGTTCATAAGCAAAACAATATTCAACTTACCTGATAGTCCTGTAGCTCCGTCGAAGATGAATATTGGCACAAACACATCACATTCACGCAGCAGCTCTAGCAGCGCAGGGTTGTCATGAAGACGCAGCCCATGTCTGAACCAGTGAACACCCACTCTGCACGGAGTAACACACTCCATTGCGGTTAACTACAGTCCACTTTCAGTCTGAAAATAAAAGGAAATTTACAAAAATCATAACCAAAGAAGGGCTTTTGCCTTTAAGTTAAGTGTTAGTTAGAGTGAAAATTTGGGTTTTATTCTTGTAGCGTAGAGTTGTTAGACACTGCATACATTTTGCTTTTAGGATAAATGACGATACTTTATGCTGGCACTATCAAACACAACTGAGAAACAATTTATGCCTGCATTAAACACATTTTAAGTTAGGTTATGCAAACAAATGCAAATTTAAATTTGGCCTTTAGATCCAACCAACCTTTAAGTTATTGGACTAGGCTTTTTTAAGAATTGGGATGAGGACGTGATCTAGGTGTGTAAGTTACCTACTTAAACTCAAATACGCTATGATGACAGTTGATCTTTAGTATGGAATTAAGTGAGGTGATCTAACTGTGCCTAAGCCTAAGCCAGAGTTTGCTACCATTAGTAGCTTACTTACCTAAAGAACGTAGGCTAACTTAAAGGGGCTTGGGGTACAGTTTCTTAACTGGGCTACGTTAACATCAATTGAAACTATCGATTCAATTAGTAAACTTTCATGTGATTTAAGTTATTCATTTTCAGGAAGTTTGGTTAGTTAGGTTAGGTGAGTTAATGACAGTTTCATTTTTAAAATTGATATGATTGGGCCTAAGTTATTTAAGAATACCTTATTGATTATCAATCAATATTTTCAATCAATAGTTTAAACTGATATTAACGTAACCCAGTTAAGAAACTGTACCCGGGGCTTGATCCGTGCAACATTCATTTAACTTAGTTTAGAGATGACTACCTTTTAAAATATATTTCTAATGGTTATTGTTTCCGACACCCGTTTCACCTAAAACGTTATAAGACCTGACACCGACACCAACACTACAACTTTTGATAGCCTACGGTATTTTATTATTAGCACCTTCATAGCCTGGGCTACATTATCCAATAACTAAGTAAGCCATGCCTTGCAAATATTCTGGTTATTGCAAAAAAATATGTTAGGTGCATTGGACTGAGTAAGGACTAGGCCTAGGGGTTAGGCCTAACTAATGAAGTGTCAATAACTTAAGTACTGTGATGGCCAAACGTGTCTAACTGTGAATAAGTAAGATATAAACCATCACATAAGTTACATTCTTACCTTGATCAGTAAATTTCTAACAAAGATTTTAGCAAAATGACTTTCCATAAGTTAACCCTAGGCTAAAGTTTATTATTGTCACATTTCAAATAACAATAAACAAGAACATTTTATCCATCACTGATTGCTAGATGAATTTTATCTCAATATAACCAAAGGAGGACTGAAAGTATTTTATATTCCATGATGAAATGAGAGAAATAGAAAACATAAAACAAATTCCACAGGTAGATTATTTTGACATTTGCAGACTTGTTTTTATTTTACTGACTGTATTTTTTTAAGGGCTGCGTTTCGATTGGAGATCTAGACTTTGTGTTCGATTGTTACGCTTCACTTTAGAAATATCGGATTCGTATTGTGTGCTTTCATTGACTTTAGATCATGTGAGTAGGGTCATCCTATTGTCATAGATAAATCATTGATTATATAATTCCACATTATACTTAACACTATTCTATCAAAGTCAATTATTTTTTATATTACAGGTAGGGGATGTGGAAGAGAAATGATTGGTTCTTAAAGTTCGTTAAATAAAATAGTTACACGTACATAATCAATTTTGGATATAAAATTATACTGCACCGCTTTAATTCTATATATAAGTAAATAAATATATGTCTTTGAATTCCGGTAGGAGGTTAAATGTATTAGTCTCACGGCCACCTTTAGTCTACTTTGTATGGATTGAAAGGTAAGGAATGTTGAAGCCATAATCATTTTAGTTTGAGGTTTCAGTTATTTATATTTTACTAGCTGTAACCCACGGGCTTTGCCCCGTTTAACTTCTTAATTTTCAAGATGATCTCGTTCGCATGGCTCAATCACGTCCTGGTTGAAGTTCGTTCGCTACGCTCACTCACCTTTAGGTTGAAATTTGGTCAAAAACCTCATTATAAACGTCCTAGTCAAAGGTTTAACCATAGATAAAACATGGTTTAACCATATATAAGGGACTATGTTTTATCTATGGTTTTTAAGGTTTTAACTAACAGCTGGTTTCAAAAACTGTTACTGTACTGTAAGACGTTACAAGTTGTTTACAAACATATTTTTGTGTGTTTCTACGTTTGATGTAGTGGCATTTTTACGTTTTGAATGGGAACGGTCCAAGCCCTGGGCTTGTTACTAATATTACTATCTATAACGTCAACCTCATATCCCAATTACAAATGGCATCTGAGTCTGGAAACGATCTCGCTTGGATTTGAACTTGCTACCTTTAGATTTCAAGGTGAGCACTATAACCACTTGGCTACCCAGATAGATTGATCTCGGTGTTACATATTTTCACGAAGTTAAATGTTCTTAGTGTTACTGTAAAATTATGCTTTTTAGGAAATGTGTAAATTTGAAAAACTATAGACATATGCCTACCGGCCTACCTGAACATTTAGTACAATCAAGTTTTGTCGTAAATAATCTGTGTTAAAATAAGTTTATGCTGTGGAAATCTTATAACTCATGTTAGGGAAATATGTTTTCCAGAAAACTATTTTTACCTCATAAAAAAAAACCCATTCCCATAGTCGGATCATGTTGGTTGTTATGAATTCCTGTCTCTAGTAATCAGCTGAAGTATTTATTTACTTGTTTGTATTAGAGATTTGTTTACCTTTCCAGCTATGTAAGAATTTAAGTTTATTAAAGCCTTATTTTCTAAAAAGGTTCAGTTATTCACAACAAATTTAATAAACTTAAACTTATCAAGATAATTAAATAATCAAAATCAAAATGGAAAGACTTTTAAAACCAGACAGGTTTGATATTAATCCTGAAAATCCTTCTGCAAGTAGAGCATTCAAACATTGGTTCAGGACACTTGAAAATTTCATATCTGACTCAGAAGTTACTGAAGAGAGGAAACTTAACGTGTTGATTAATTTTCTTTCTTACAATGTCTACGAGTATATTTCTGAATGTTCCACGTTTAAGTCAGCAGTTGAAATTTTGCAAACTATTTATAATCCTAAGAAGAATGAAATTTATGCTCGACACATGCTAGCAAACCGCAAGCAGAAGAAAGAAGAAAACATAGACAAGTATCTACAAGAGCTTAAACTTCTAAGTAAGGATTGCAATTTTCGTGCCATAGATGGAAATACTTATCGAGATGAAGCCGTTAGAGATGCCTTTATAAGTGGAATTATGAACCCCCAAATTCGACAAAGACTACTAGAAAAACCGTCCTTGACATTAAAAGAAGCTGAGGACATTTCACGTTCACTTGAGTCTGCACAGAAGAGCTGTGAAGCATATAGATCTCCAAACCAAATTGAAGTTACATACTGCAACACTTCGTCAACACTACCAGATCAACTGGATGAAAATATAGATCCTGAAGAGTCTCCTACTTCAGCAGCTGTAGCGAAAAAACTTTAAACAGAAGTGTTTCTACTGCGGTGGCCGGCGTCATTTTACTCGAAATGACTGTCCTGCCAAAGATGCTACTTGCTCTGGTTGTAAGAAAAGGGGACATTTTGTGAAGGTATGCAGGTTGATGAAAGCTCAAGGTAAGACCTTTAATGCCTCTTCTTTGGTAGTAACCACACTTTCATGTGCAGCTGCCTCCAATGGACTGTCAAAAGCAGTTGTGCGGGGTTATGCGAATAAAATTCCTGTTGAAGTTTTGGTTGATACTGGAAGTACCGATAGTTTTATAAACCGAGCTGTGGTAATTGAAAATGGTTTTCATGTAATTCCAGAACGGAAACAGGTAACGCACATTTTTGTGTACGTTAGAATTTAAATAGATTTGAGCGTCGGATAGACAGTCTAGCAGTGTGGGGTTTCTTTATCTAAGAAAATTCCAGGGGACAGAGTTAATCGGGAGTTATCAGATAATCTTGTAATAATATTAGGCCTAATATGTAAACAAAGATAAGGGCAAACCTTTTATTACTGAATACTTTCGGTAATTTCTAATCTCTCTGGGATAGATGGATTAAAGCTTCCAAGTCAAATTAGGATTACTGAAAGATATGAACAATTTAAAATAAAATACGTAATTGATTCAGAGTGTGGTATTTCTCAGGCGAGACCAGCCCACAGGTGGTGGTGGTTTAACCACTCATCATAACATCATAATCAATTACGTTGATCGGGAAAATTGAATGACTTTACCCTGGTGAACGGTGATAATTAACAACTTTCTTGACTATTCAGCTCGAATACTTTAATTGATATAATTTGAAATGGCCGTTTGTCGAGTAGAAAGGACACGATTGACTAACCAACAAAGGGAGGTTGGTGTCAATAAGCTCAGGACTGTTAGTAGAGGTTAGCAATATACAGCAATGTACTCTATGATACCTGTACTATGTTCTAATATCAAGGCCAATTAGCCTTAGGAGTGCTAGCGTCAGTTAAGATTCAAGTATCAAGTAATTAGCAGATCATTAGCACACTGTATGTTGACTAACTAACGGTTTAAGAAGGTTAGCGTCAGTACAGGGATCTCGGGGAGTATTAAGCTGACCAACTAGCTAGAGGAGTGCTAGTGTCAGTTAAGAGACAATTAGTAGGTAATTAGCGGATAATTAGCAAACTGTTAGGCTGACTAACTAACGGTTTAAGAAGGTTAGCGTCAGTACAGGGATCTCGGGGAGTATTAAGCTGACCAACTAGCTAGAGGAGTGCTAGTGTCAGTTAAGGGACAATTAGTAGGTAATTAGCGGATAATTAGCAAACTGTTAGGCTGACTAACTAACGGTTTAAGAAGGTTAGCGTCAGTACAGGGATCTCGAGACGTATTAAGCTGACCAACTAGCTAGAGGAGTGCTAGTGTCAGTTAAGGGACAATTAGTAGGTAATTAGCGGATAATTAGCAAACTGTTAGGCTGACTAACTAACGGTTTAAGAAGGTTAGCGTCAGTACAGGGATCTCGGGGAGTATTAAGCTGATCAACTAGCTAGAGGAGTGCTAGTGTCAGTTAAGGGACAATTAGTAGGTAATTAGCGGATAATTAGCAAACTGTTAGGCTGACTAACTAACGGTTTAAGAAGGTTAGCGTCAGTACAGGGATCTCGGGGAGTATTAAGCTGACCAACTAGCTAGAGGAGTGCTAGTGTCAGTTAAGAGACAATTAGTAGGTAATTAGCGGATAATTAGCAAACTGTTAGGCTGACTAACTAACGGTTTAAGAAGGTTAGCGTCAGTACAGGGATTTCGAGACGTATTAAGCTGACCAACTAGCTAGAGGAGTGCTAGTGTCAGTTAAGGGACAATTAGTAGGTAATTAGCGGATAATTAGCAAACTGTTAGGCTGACTAACTAACGGTTTAAGAAGGTTAGCGTCAGTACAGGGATCTCGAGACGTATTAAGCTGACCAACTAGCTAGAGGAGTGCTAGTGTCAGTTAAGGGACAATTAGTAGGTAATTAGCGGATAATTAGCAAACTGTTAGGCTGACTAACTACCGGTTTAAGAAGGTTAGCGTCAGTACAGGGATCTCGAGACGTATTAAGCTGACCAACTAGCTAGAGGAGTGCTAGTGTCAGTTAAGGGACAATTAGTAGGTAATTAGCGGATAATTAGCAAACTGTTAGGCTGACTAACTAACGGTTTAAGAAGGTTAGCGTCAGTACAGAGATCTCGAGACGTATTAAGCTGACCAACTAGCTAGAGGAGTGCTAGTGTCAGTTAAGGGACAATTAGTAGGTAATTAGCGGATAATTAGCAAACTGTTAGGCTGACTAACTAACGGGTTATGAAGGTTAGCGTCAGTACAGGGATCTCGGGGAGTATTAAGCTGACCAACTAGCTAGAGGAGTGCTAGTGTCGGTTAAGAGACAATTAGTAGGTAATTAGCGGATAATTAGCAAACTGTTAGGCTGACTAACTAACGGTTTAAGAAGGTTAGCGTCAGTACAGGGATCTCGAGACGTATTAAGCTGCCCAACTAGCTAGAGGAGTGCTAGTGTCAGTTAAGGGACAATTAGTAGGTAATTAGCGGATAATTAGCAAACTGTTAGGCTGACTAACTAACGGTTTAAGAAGGTTAGCGTCAGTACAGGGATCTCGAGACGTATTAAGCTGACCAACTAGCTAGAGGAGTGCTAGTGTCAGTTAA